CCCCATCAAGAGGAGGAAAACAAAGACCAACAGATTTACCTCTCTATCTGTCTTCCACCACTGACATGGAGTATTCTCTATGAAATGCAACGATTCAGGGATGGATTTGAAGGCCTCAGGATGATGAGATGGAATGTTGTGTTGGGCTTCAACCAGAATTTGCCTCACTTGTCTCATTTTTAGAACAGGGACCATCAGAGAGATGGTGGAGTCATTCACTGTGTCTCACATGGGTCACCATTTGTTTTGTCAAACATGTGTTCTATCGGTTAGTGAATATCTTTAAGCCAATGCAAGATTTCACTGAATACAGTTGTATAAGAGGAGACATTCTGTTGTGGTTCAAAATAGAAAATCAATTTTTATCACCATAAATAGAAACTACAGAGATAAATAAAAACAAAACAAGGCCACCAAGTTCTAACTCAGCACTTAGACCTTACCCTGGGCTTTGTGGAATACAACTCGTAGAGGCATCTGCTGCCCCTGCAGGACTCTGAAACTAGTTGAAAGACTTAAATTTACAGGAGAAGTAAGCGTCGAAACTTTAGAAGTCTACCGGATTTAAGTACAAAGAGCATTTCACACTTTTGGAAACAGAGAAGGTAGTAGACAGATTGCTTAAATCCTGAACTACTGCTGTAATCAACCTGATTGTGTCTCTCCTTCCCTGAGCTTGTTCTGTCAGTTCTTCCCAGAAGGTAACTTAGTTAATAATGATAAAGGAAGCTCCTAGTTAATGAGCTTCTTTTTGCTAGATGCTGCAGTCAAGTGATTTACATGGATTACCCCATTTAATTCCATAATTAGTCTCATAAAACCCTATAACAAGATAATCACTAGTCTCATACAATTCTTTGATAAGATAGGTACCAGAATGACCTGAGGTTTACAGATGAGCAAACTGCTCAGCTGATACCCTGCGGCCTGGGCCGGGGTGAGAGACTGCGGAGTATCCATCTGATTCTGAAGACCCAGCCTCACATTGGTCCCATGGCATTCATCATTGAGGTTAGTTTAACATCCGCCCAGGGCTCTGCTAGGATACAACACATTATACATGTTGCCTTTGCTCATGTTGCCAGGGTATTGTTCAGGTGTTTTCCCTTCACACTGCTTTGGAGCCAGAGAGGGACTCTGGACATGCCTGCTCCAGTCTGAACCCTGCCACCTTCTTGCTGTGTTGTTCTTTTCTGAGCCTCAACCTCCATATTTAAATAAGGAAGGCATTCGGGCTGATGACTGATCAGCAAGGAAGGCGCTTGGCACTGACACTGGCCAGCAGCTGGCTGTGAGAAACACACGTGTGAGCCAAGGCAAGCACAGGCCGCGTGCCCCGTCGTGGAAGGCTGCTCACGCGGGAAGTGGCCCCTGCACAGGATGCTCTGATATGCGGGTGTTTCCTGGTGGGAACCGCGTTTGGACGTGATTTCAATGGGCCCAGTAAGTATGCAGTTCCTCTGTGCTTTCACAAGATCCCTGAGCTGCTCACAGGACAGCTGGATTGTTGGATTTCATTTTGTAGAAGAACAAAGACTGTCAGGGAAAGCCATTTGTTCAAGTGCAGGGAGCTTTCTCCACGGGGCAGAAGGAAGGTGAGAAACACTGCGGTCCTTCCACTCTAACAAAGCATTTTCTTCCTGCTCTTCTCTAAACTTATTTCAAAATAGACATATTATACCATTTTAGACTATGTAGAATTGACACAAATGATATGCAAACCATTCCGAGAATAACTTCCAATTACAAAATACCCCGACTCTATGGTCAATGCTTTTCCGTTCTGCAGAAACAATTGCTCTTATCACTTGGCTTATACTCAAGAATTTTTTTAGGTATTATGTATAAATGTATATGTAAAACTATATGGTCTGGTTTTAGTCTTACAATAAATGATGCTACATATAGTCTATACTTTGCCTTTTCGAATTACCCTAAACATCATTCCCCAGGAACACAAATTTTTTTGTTACACAGTATGCATTGTGTACTTTGCAATTTTTAAATTGAAATTATTTAAAATTGAAATTATTTTAAAAATTAAATTTAAATTATTTTAAATTATTTTTTAATATTCTAACCACATGTAATGTCTGAGTGGTGCAGCTGAGGCCTGACAGATAGTCAGGACTGTGCTAACCATATGAAATGAAGGCCAGCAGCAGTGGTTTCCATTTCAGGGGCAGCAGGGACTCTGACTTGGCAGCTCCCCTGTTGGGCAAAAGTCCACCCTTAAGTGGCCTCATGCCTATGGTGAGGGACTGAGAAGTCCCCTACTTGCCTAGGCTGTGAAGACAGGCTGATGATATCTTGCTTTTAATAATTTACAGATGTATGCTTTTGACTTACTCTGCTAAACCCTACTTTCTCCTGCAGAAAAGTGGGGGGACATACTGGTTGCAGATGCTTGGAAACATCACTATGGGAGCCACGGAAAGCATTCAATAATGACTTTCAAAAGCAGCCAGCTTTTGGCTGGGGAGGACAGTGGTACATGCTTGTCACCTCGGCACTTGGGAGGCTGAGGCAGGAAGATTACCTTACCATGAGTCAAAACCAGCCTGGGCTCCATAGTGAGTTTAAGGTCAGCCTGAATTATGGAGCAAGTCTGCTTTCATGTAATCATTACCTTTGCATTGCCAGACAGTTCTCTCCAATTTCTTTCATCCAACCCAGGATTTGATCAAAGGGACAAACTATGGAAAGGTTAGCTCACAAAATCCCTGCCTTTTAGAATAAGGAAAATCACAGATGAAATGCTAGAAAAATGAATTTACATTTAAAACACTGCCTTTAATCCTCGAGATGTTTCCCTTTGCATTGATCACACAGCTCCTTACGCTTGCTGCCTTCTGAAGCAGTTCTGGTTCTCTTTATTGTCTCACGTGGTGTGTAAGACACATGAAGATCACAGCTGTCAAGTGCGTCCAGCAGAAAGACAGGCTGTGAAGACCTCGCAGTGTGGACTCGCCGCATCACTGGACACACTGTGCCTTCTGGGTCTGTTCCAAAGTCAAACAGGGAAAGGTAAATGGTTTGATTCAGGGTCTGGACTGCCACATCGTGTAAATAAAGACATTCACAAGAGAGGACTTCAGAACTGCTCAGGTGGCAAGAATGATGGTAGGTGTGTTCAAAGTGTAGTATTTTGAGGGAGTTAAATGGTAGTGCATCGTTTAATATGTTTAAAAATATCCTCCATGTTTTCCATTTATACCTTGAGCCTCCATTGCATTACACTGGGCAGTTCACTATAGCTTATGATATTAGTTGTTACCACCATTTGGATGACGAAACTGAGGTTCTGGGATAGGGTAGTGATTGTCTCTTGGCCACCCAGCAATTGTCCCATGCCTAGCAGCATGATACACAAGAGTCACTCTAATAGCGATGCTAATGCAGTCATGTACTATCCATGAAATGATTCTAATGGCCTTTTGAATATATGGCAGACAAGCATGTGGCCTCACTGAATAGACAAATAAGTCAGGTATGGGAAACTGGCCTAAGGGCCAGATCTGGTGTATTCAGCCTTCACAGTGATTTCTACTATACAATGCCTGGGGCATGTAAGTATCTTGTGAAATTCAAACTTATGTTCACAGATAAAACTTACTGTAACACTGTGTGTTCATTCATCTACACTGTCTATGGTTTTCATACGGGGGCAGCTCTCCCAGAGAACAGCTGTGGCCCATTCAGCACAAAACACTATCTGGCCCTACACAGGAAGTTCTGACCCTGCCCTAGGCAATCACTACTCAGCCCTTCATTCCTTACACTTTTATCCAAGGTGTGTCTGAAGGTTTTGAATGCTGTGCAAAAGGAAAATACCTCAAAATGAGAGAAGACACTCTCTGGCCTCTTGGATGCCCATGTCTTTGGTACAGGTATTCTGAAATGAGACATCACCATGAACAAGCTATTCATATGAATGCTACAATCATGGGATCAGACAACCTGGGCACCCAGAAAAATGCCTACCAAAATGTGCTTTCAAGTTTTGAGTCGTCCAGCGCTGGCATCTTTATCATCATTTTTGTGCTTCCTGTTGTAGTTACCTAATAGCTTGGATTAGAAGGTGAGCCAGTTAAATACAAAATTCAGTTAAAAAGCAGCGGCCTTTTGTGGCCAACACAGGCACTGTTTGGATGATTGTATGGTTATAATAAGAAAACCAGGGTTAGACTGAATTTTTTAAAGGTTGGGTATTCTAGGCGGAGTATCTAGAATATTCTGTATTTTCTGCCTTCTATTACTTGTAACTTTAATAGTGAAGCTGTCTAAGTAGAAACAATGTAATACTCTACCTGAGTTAGAAACAATGTAATAATTTATCAACTGACTTATACCTCCTAATACAATAGGAAAATGTTTCTTAAAAACCTCAGAAGAGATTTTTAAAGAAAGACACTGATTATCATTCGGCACACATTGGTGTTGATATTCTTGCATTCCCACCACCAGTGACAGAGGCAGTGTACTGGGAAGGATTCTTGACCTACCAAGCACAGAGAACTTACACAGACAATGTGGGCTTCTATTAATTTCCTCTAAGTGAAGGGGTTGACCACATACTGAAGAACCTATACACTTAATATAGATGGTAATTCCTTAGGTCCATTTGGAAACCTCCTACATAATTTTCCTAAAGATCTTTAGTTTAATTTGCTAAGGTCACTCAGTTCCCAAGTGGCAAAGCCACGACAAACGCAGGTGATGCTCTAAAGCTTCTGCTCTTGACGCGAGGCGGTATTTAGAATGTATACCATTAGCGTTATCAGGTCAGCATCCCTCCTTCAGAAAGGAGAACGGCCATCTGACACCGCGGATCTGTGGAGTCCAGTATTTCGCTCGAGTTGTAGGAGTCCCACACTGTACAGCCACAGAATTTTAGAGACCAGAAATTGGACAGCACTGGAATCTTACAAAGTACAGCTTTTCTGCATGGTATTTGTAACTGTTCCTCAAAAGGAAGGATTTAGATCCAAAGCAAGAAAAAAGTTTTTAGTAAACTTTTATTTTTATATTCAAGGTAAAGCATATACACAATTGAATGTGGAAATAAATAACTACAAATGCTTTGGAAATTTTTCCATTTCCCCCTCAAATTCATGAGTCTTTTTATTTAAAGAGACATGGCAACTATAATACCAAGGGAAAAAAAGGAGCTATATTCTTTGTACAGAAACATACAGCCTTTGCTGATTATATAGTTTAGTTGGTATTTTTTTAACAACAAAAAAAGTACACAAAACACAATTTTCATCAGGTTTACTTAAAACAGCTTTGCTTGAGAAGAAAAAGGCACAGGTTTAAGGGGGTGATGGTAATTATTAAGAATATAGTAAATGGGGATTCAAGTCAAAAAATGAGACTGTATGAATGAAGGAAAAATGGAACAAAATGAACTCTCTCAAATTATATGCCTTCATAATGAGATTTTTAAATTAAATTGTATAAACATACGATATAAAGTTTGTACTTTAGGAAGTGTCTTTGCATATTCTGTTTATGTACAAATTTTTGTATACAATTTCAATATTCCTTATACATTTCCTATATTCCAAACAGCCAGGGCCTCCCAATGCTATGTCCCAAGTCCCTGTGGGGTATTCCAGCAGCTGAGTGAGGGCAGCAGCTCAGTGAGGGCAGCTGCTTCTTGCTGTAATACCTGGAAAGGAGCTAGGGCCAATCAAATGTAGTCATCCTCAACGGGCTCTCCGTTGACATCACAATAGTGGATGAAAATTGCCACTACTCGCTGAAACACACCCTTCTTCATCTGCCGCATCTCTGAGATCTCCTCTCCTATTGTTTCCATACAGATATCTGCAGACAGCTGTCCTTTTCTTCGAGGAGCATAGATGGTACCTTGGAAATAAGGAGAAGGGGAGATGTGTGATAATCAGAATCAACTGGAAAATCAATCAGATAAGCTGGCTCATGAAATATTTTTACACATTTTAACATGATGCAGCTGATGCATGAATAGTCCACAGAATGGGTCCTCACTGTTCTATGTTATGCCACATCTGATGCCTGAGACAGCAGGCATGATTAAAACCCGAGGCAAAAATGATAGGCTGGAGTGGTATGTAATATGCATGTAGTCCATAAGATTCATTTCCTTAGGAAACTTCTATATAACAGGAAAATAATTTGTGCAATTAAAACTCTTCTGTGTAACACTGTTGATAAATTCTAAATTCTCCAACAAAAACTACAAGATTATAAATATTTAGTTGCACTGGCTTCAGATGCAGACCAGTGGTAGAATGTATGAGGCCCGAGTTCAATCTTCAGCACCAATTAAAAAAAGACAAAGATAATAAAGAATACAAAACATATGTTTGCAAGGAATCCTTCCCAGCATATATTCCCAGTACAAATTCAGAGCTTTTGGGGGTTGTGGGAGGGACATAGATTATACGAAAATCATTTATTTTTCATTTTTACTTTTTTTTTTTTGGTACCAGGGATTGAACTCACGACCCTGTGCTTGCCAAGCAGGGGTTGTTTCACTGAGCTATATCCCCGGCCCCCGGAAATCATTTAAAATCTGTGCAGTTTTGAACTTTCAAAGTACTAATAATTAGCACAGCAGGATATACTCAAACTGGAGAAAGGTCAGGTCAGTTCATAATTACTTTCTTCATCATCTTCAAAATCGTATCGGGCGAAGCTGTTGGGCTCTGCTGCCCGCAGTGACCTCAGCCAAGGGAAGTCAGAAATCATTGAATATGGGGCTCCATCAACAACACCTAAAATAAAAGGACAGATGAAAACATACTCCTCCTGTAGAGGTGCTGAATGGACCCCACCCTGGAGTTCTTCCTAACCCACATACACAACGTAGAGGAGAAACTGACTCAGGTGTTCCCAAGTCAATTCCAAAGTCTCAAACACAGCAATTTGCAGTTTTTATCTGCTCTTTCTGATTACAGTGATAGCTTGGTTCATGAACTTAATTCTATAATTCTGGTCACCAGTGAGATGGAGAAGAACTGATTTGATTCGATGGTTAGGTTCAATGTTGACTTTATGGGGCAAGTTGATTCGGTCTTGTCCAATTCAGTTCATGAACCAAAACAAGTATATTCTCTGGATGAAAAAGACACAGGCTGACCAATGTTGATCAGGCCCCGTTTCTTACAGGTATCCACATCACCCATTTGTTTTGATGAATTCAAGATTCCCATTCATGTTTTCTCTAAGATATGTCTCTCCATCCAGTCACAGCTATTTAGCTTTCCACTCAGTGGTAAACCCTCACCCTCTAAAGTGTAGATATCTCGCCCCCAGGGGTACTTGGGGTACTTCTTCAAGTCTTCTTCACTTCGAGTGGCTTCAGGGAAGAATTCATACTTAATGAGCTCTCTAAAGGCAACGAAGAAAGTAAAATTTTAAAACTGAAAATGTTAGGAAATGTGGTGCAAACAAACTGTAGAGACTGTTTCAGGCCCAGATTCTATAAGACGTTTCAGAAAAAATACTGAATCTAATGGCCTCCATTTATTCAAAACAGAGATTTGTCTACGAGATCAAAGTTTACCATCTTCAAAATCTTATCAGTCAAAGAAACAAAGCCATCCTCTAACCATTCTCTGTCTTGTGTACAGAGGGAGCTTAATGCAGTGTTTATATAATAAACACATAATTCAGTTTTGATAATGTAAAACATCCTTGTCTTAAGATCTTTGACTTAATCTCTGATACTCCGTAATGTATAGTCGAATGTACATGTACAGTCTGTTCCTAGTTTCTCTAGTTTGGAAATAAAAAGTGACATACATACACACAGTTATGCTCTTCAGTTGTTATTTCACTCAGTTTTTGCTATACATAATTTCAAGCATGCCTAAAAGACTAGGATGGAATCATTTAAGACAAGAAAAAACTGGCATTATCTTCTGGGAGCCCCATTACCTAAAGTGACCAAAAAGACCTCCGCTAGAGGGCCACGCAGCTACTTACTGATTGATGTTGGCTATCGTGTCCATCCAGCTGCGAATGCGCACCTTATTCCGCACATTGGGAGGGTTACTAAACTCATGGATGATGCAGATGTGGTAGGGATAGGGACCGCTGAACAGTTTCTGTTCCAAAGTCAGTGTGTCCACCTGTGGAAAGACATCATAAAGAGGTCTCTGGAAAAGGAAAGCAAATCTTAAAAACCTATTTTATACAGCCTGAATCTTTCCTGGGGTCCTTCGGTTTAGCAATCTGGCTGATTTGAAAACTGTATCGTCATAGTGAGCCACAAACAGCTTACCACGCTGGGCTTAGGATGTACCTGGTAAGCCAGAGAACCCTGATTCAAGTAGCTGATTTCAAGCAATTCAGAATCCACTTCTGAGGACTCTAGGGCCCAGGACGGACTGCACTGAAGAAGTGTGAATGCACAGAATCTGAAGTCCTTCACGGGCTCACTGTCCGTTCTTAAGGACAGAGCACAGTTCTAACCTCCTTGTAACCTTCCGTAGTGGGCACTGCTTTCTTCTTAGGAACACTCTCTTCCCTATCTGTAGTCACAAAATTCTACTCTGCCATCTCAGTGGCTTAACTGATTCTTTAGTGGCCTGGTTCACACAGTGATTTCAGGATTTGTTTAGTGCTTCCTCTAAACTCTCTTCTGGAATCTAGCAGTTTCATATACAAAGCTTGGTCATAATGATACAACATTATATTATGCTATAACTGTAACAAAAATGATTCCCGCATATCATATACATTAGTTGAAACATCTATCATATATATTAGTTGAAACATCGCAATAACCTTAGGTATATTACTTTAATTTTGCAAATGAAGAAATTAGGATATAGTTAAGAATTAGGATGTAGGTCAGAAAATGAGAATTTGAATCAAGTAGTTTGATACCTGAATCTCTGCTTTAGCCACAGATAACTATTAAAAAAAAAAAAACTTCTTGAATAATGCCTGTTAAATAATTTGCTACAAACTTACAAAAATCTAGAAGAGAAGCTTTAATAAAAAAATTGTTAAGAGTCTAACTGGGTTAAAAAAAACTATGTATGGAGATAAAAGGAATCACTGATATGGACTGAGCAATGAATCCATGCCAAGTCTAAAGTGTTGAAGACTAAATCAGCAGACACGCGTGTATCATCAGAAACGGGTAGAGCCTGCTACCTGCTGCATGGGGCGAAGGTATATGATGCGGTTTCTCTCCGGAGGCATCCTTAGTATCTGGTCCAGTACCTGATCCATGTTCAGCTTCTTACACTGTGCATAGTCAAAGCGGTTTACAATTGGTGCATTTTCTACTTTTAAATGTTTCAGTACTCTGCACCTAGTAGCTAAAAACAGAAACAATGGTAAACTGTATAATTATATATAAGAGCAACACGTGACCCATTTGAAAGCACGTTGGAGGATTGTCTCAACTTTTATGAGCACCAGACACTACTACTGTGAGTATCTTTAATACAGGTCATGTATTACCAGTACAAATAAGTGTTACAAGAGAATTTCAAAATGTGTTTAATCATAATAGAAGGGATGCTGAAGTATCTTTTCCTTTTGAGATCCAGTTAAGGAAACCAAGTGCCACAAAGTGACTCACTTGAATGAGAATTATTCAGGAATATTTACTGGATAGAATAAATAACTATTCAACTGTACAGCTTTACAGTTGGTGGTCACATAAATCCAGTTAACTCATATATTATCTTATATTCACTTATAGGATAAAAGCAAAGTTGATTTTAATTCTTATTACATATCAAAAAAAAACTCAAATCTTCAAAACCAACCAACCAAACAAAAGCCAATTAATATTTAGATTCTCTAATCTAAAACAGTACATTACAATATGGTAACCACTAGCCACCTGGAAGGATTTAAATTTCAATGGAATGAGATATAAACAAATCAACACTAACTACTTTTTCAGATACTTTTCAATTATTTCCCTACATTGCCTGTGCTTCTTGCCAATCCTTAATAAGCTTCTATAAAGTGTTTTCTGAATAAACTGTGCCTGTGGCATTTCTTCACAGATTAATAATTAATTCTTTAAATTTTAACATGGAAATCCTACAAATATCCCTTTGCCAGTATTTGCACTTACACACTGTTCCACAAGTTCGCTATAATAATTATTTTATAGCATTTTAATGTTTTCCTGTAGGAACTGTAATGTAGTGACATCTAGCCTGCTACATTACCACCTTTCTTGCATTACTTTAATAAAACATACTTGAGAAGTGGGACAGGCTACCCAACAGGACAGTGAATGCTAATCAGAGGCAGATAGCAGCAAGACATGAATTCAGCCCTGACATGAAACCGTTAATGGGATTTGTTTTGTTTTCTATCAGTGTCATGGGAGATGTGCCAGAAAAATAAATGCTGTTAATATTTTTTGTAGTATTAATACAATAAAAACTACTCTTCAATGAGCATTCACTAAAGGTCAGAGCTTGTGTGTGTGTGTGTGTGTGTGTGTGTGTGTGTGTGTGCCTACAAGTGTATATGCACATATGTGTATACAGAGTCCACTAAAAATATGTGTATACACTTCAGCAGTTCACTGTGCTACAAAATGTCTAGAAGCTCACAGATACCACTTTGAGCACCTCTTGTAATTGTATAGGCCTAAGGTAACTTGTATTAATCTCATGATGTCCCAGTGAGTTTAGTATTAAAATATTCACACGTTTTTCTTTCCCTGATGTGTATTTTGGCAGATTCTGCATATACACAAAGATGTATCAATCACCACAATTTAATTTTCACTAATATTTTATGGGATAAGCATAACTAGGCATGCTGATATACATAACTTATTCAAGTCAAAGAACAAGTCAGCTTCATAATTTTATGTGGATGAGCATCAAGACCATAATTCTGAGTAAAAAAGGGAAAGGATAAATAGACTTTGGATATGTACAGCTAGAATTTTTAAAAGCTCACACAAAATACCGCAGAGCTGAGACAGGCATGTAAGTCAGGAGTGAAAGATGTACTGGCAGAGTGGACCAGTACAGCAGGATGCTGTCAAAGGCATCTGGAGCCACAAATGGGTCTGGATTGATGATAATGTGCCATGTAGTAAAACTAAGGGTGTAGCTGACACCTCTCCAAAACACAAAGCTGTTAAGCTCCCCTCAAAAACACTTACACACAGGGGCCAGGGATTTAGCTCAGCAGCATAAGTGCCTGCCTTGCAAGCGTGCAGTCATGAGTTCGATTACTGGCACCAAAAAAAAAAAAAAAAAAAAAAAAAAGTTGGTAAAACTCTAGGGGCTGGGGATTTAGTTCAGTGGCATAAGCACCTGCCTTGCAAGCGCGCGGTCCTGAGTTTCCTCCCCAGTCCCCCCCCCCCGCAAAAAAAAAATTTACACACAAAACATGTTCCAATCATACAGTCAATGGCTGAGTCAATACACCTCAAACTGTGGTGTATCCGACTCCAGAGCCCATTCATGCTGTTAATCCAATTGCCATGTCAGGGAGCACTTAGTTTTTGCAGAAAAGGCTGTTTACAAAATAAACCTGTTTGGACACATAGATCCTTTCTATGGAGTCATTATTTGAGAACTGTACAACAGGACAGAATTAAGTATGATTAACCCAGTCTTCCAACAGGACACATATGTACAGTAATGTTACTGCTGTATTTCTGATTTCTTAATTCTTTACAGTCACTCATGATGCTATTGTATAATATGGACCCAAATACATACCGTGAATGAACATCATCTTGGGGCAGTCTTTCAGCACTAAATCTGTGATTCCACAATTGGTCATAGTGACTCCAACAAGATTTTTGGATTTTAATACGAGAACCTACAAGGAGAAAAATTTGACATGTAACCATGTTTTTTAAAAAGCTTAAATGTTCCATTGGTATGATTGACAAGCAGTATCTTTTTTTCCCTCTAGGATATAGAAACTATAAAAAAAGAAACTACAGTTTCTTTGCATTGTTCAAGAACTGGGCTCAACTGAAAAGTGACTTTTTACCTGTACATGGTCATCCTCGATCACAGGGTCACTGGTACTGGTGGACTTATCTGCTGTCCGTTTCCGTTTGATGGCGTGACGTGGCTTTGTTTTGGCAACCTCTGGAAAAGGCAAAAAAAAAAAAAAAAAAAGTCCAAATTTTAGCTTTGCTTTATTTTCTTTACTCACATAGGTATTCCATCACATATGTATGAAATCCACCAAGGCAACTCCCAAATCTCGATTTGATTTCCAAGGAAATACAGCTGGAATTAGTGTTTCTAATGGACAGTTCCAAATCAGTTCAACCTCTGGCACATCACACCCAACATCCTCCCACACTTAGGCCGTTCCGACAAGGCTGGTACCATCACTTCCGGTTATTAGCCTGACTCATCCCATCGTAAGTACTGGTAGCAGATTAAACTTGTGACTTTCCTGCTTAAAGAAAATTAAATTACTGACTGCTGCATAGTCAGTATGTTCCAAGGTCTCACACTGGGGAGAGATGCTTTAGCCCCTCTAGTTCCTTTTTTACTCACTACTATCAATCACTCTAGCTCAGATCACCTGTTCTGGTTTCACCTTTTGAAATACTATCATATGAATCTCCGATCAAATTAACTCTTACTTGTTTCTGTTTTGTTGGTTTTTTGAGTCAGTGAGTGCTTTGCTATGTAGCCCAGGCCATCCTTGAACTATGTAGTCCATTTTGCCCTCAAATTTGTGGCAATCCCGCCTCAGCCTCAGAGAGCTAGGATTAGCTCAACATGACCAGCTCAACTGTTTCTTGTTTCTGACAAATCATAGTGGACCTCCAATCATTATATATTGTTCTTTATCATTCCCTGTATACTTGTTTTGTCTCCAAATATAAACTATATAAATATAAACAAATATTCCTAGAAGGCAATCACACTGTCTGACTTCACTTTTATTTCAATATCAGCTACTAACAATGGGCTAATAAGATGCACATTTAGTCAGTGATTGTCACGCGACATTTGCAGAATGAATGAGTGCATTACACATACATAAACAAAATAACAAATCTACTGAGCACTTACTCTGTGTCAGGCACTGCCCGAAGGACTTCACTTTATTAATGCACATAATCCCCACCAAACTGTTCTCTGTAGAAACTGCAAACACTTCACTTTGTAGTTCTATAATCTCAAACCAAAGATTACAAAAAAAGATAGGGAAGCTGGGAGTGCTGGTGCATGCCTGTCATCCTAGCACTGGGGAGGCCAAGGCAGGAGGATCACTGAGTTCAAGGCCAGCCAGGGCTAATATTGAGTTCATGGCCAGCTTAAACTACCCAGTGACAGGCTGTCTCAAAACCCACCCTGCTCCCCCCCCCCACAAAAAAAAACCCTAACAAAAAAAGAAACAGAAAAATTAGGTGTAAATACTGCTAATGTTTAAAGTTTAGGACTAGACACAATCTAGAGACCTAGTGCAGGTAATTTCTAACACCCAGAATCTTTTCTCTACCATCTGAAATCTTTTGTGAAATTCTACTATGCACAACAAAAATGGCTGCTTTGATTGAAGGCAAAAGGGAAATTCTATATATAAAAAGAAAGTTCTATACCAAAATTCTTCCAAGGACCCTGAGAAATTAAGCAAAATACTAGAGTTCTTAAAACAAAACAAAACAAAACTCTAAGACGATTGACACAGGCAACCCCATGAATGCCTTCTTTTACTCTACCCTGGAGGAACTTCATACAAACGCCTCGTAAGTAGCCTTCTATAGGCCACACATTTCACTCAACTGTCCAAATTCACACAAGTGCTACAGCTTCCCTCCATAGAGAAGTCCTGTTCTCTCTCTTTTAGTACAAAAACAAAACCAAAAAACAGGTCTGTCTCCAGTCCTTCAAGACAATATTTTAATACAAGGCTTCTGTTCATATCTTCCTTTTATGATCTAATTTTCAAACCTCTCACCTTCCCCATTAAATGCTAGAATGTGGGTTCAAAGTTATGATTCCCAATCTGCAATGTCTAAATTAGTGGTTTATGTTTTCTACAAAATGAAAGCTATTTTTTCTGTAAAATAAAGTCACCTTTTATTAGTAGATGATCTTGAAAAACTATGTATGGCTTCCCAAAGAAAAAGGAAGAGTCTATTGGATTGTTACTATTCTTTTATGCCCTCCTCTCCATCTAGGGACAACTGATTTTGTCTAGAGACAATTTCTAGTGATTCTGTACATCTTCTAGCATAAATATACCACATATGATGGTTTCTACACTTCTTAAGTTCATAACTATTCACTGAGCCCCATACGGTATGTGAAACACCGTGCCTACAAGCTGGGAGATGGGAATATAACAGTAAACAAGATGCCACTGCCCTGGCTTTATGATGCTCATTAGTTCACTGGAAAGATAGGAAACAAAACACAGAATTACAATATAGCAGGGTTCACATTAGTGTTACAGACGCTACAGAAAAACAAGAACAGCAGACAAACCTAGTCTTGGGGTGTTAGGGAAAGTTTACAGTTTATGAGAACTAATCTTAAATCCTATTCTTTTGATAATCAAATCAATTTTGAGATTTGCTTTTATACACTAAGGATAAAAAGAACAATTTACAAAAACATTTATTTCACATATAAAATAATTACACTAACTTCTAAGATGGCTGCTATATTCCACAAGTCCAAAAAAAGGTCAAAAATCTAACCATCTTGAACTGATTACAAAAATCTGTAACAATCAAATTTCCTCTTTTATTATTTGGCTTTCACTCCTTAAAACATTTAAAGCAGAATGGCTTTGATATAAAGAATATACAGGTTAAAAATAACTTGTCAGTCATTAAAATGACTTGTTCTTCCCAAATGAGTGCTGGTAATGTTAAAATCAGTACTTTGATATTTCCCCAGAAAAACTGTTAATGAAAGTAAATGGACATTTATGCTTAAAAAAACAGTATACCAAATTTACCTACTAAATCACACTGCAGACATTAGAAATCTCAAATTGAAAAACAAAACTAAGGCAATAAATACAACAGGAAAAAGCTCCACATACAGGAGATTTACTTTCTTTTTTGATTTTTTTTTTTAGTACCGGGGATCGAACTCACAACCTGTGCTTGCCAGGCAGACACACCACTGAGCTAAACTCCCGGCTTACTTTCTTTTTTAACCAAAGGATTACTCAACCTAAGAATAAGTTCTTGTCATGAAACAGGTCAGAATAAAATCATAAAAGGATAAGTAGCACTCATAGCAAAACATAAAAACATCAAAACACCACTGGTTATATGAAGGATCTATATTAAAAACAAAACAAGCTGACTAAGGTGGCACAAGCCTGAATTCCCAGATCTCTGAAAGGATGAGATGGAGGGTTACCAATTTGAGCCCAGACTGGAAAATTTAGTGACTTAAAGAACTTGTCTCAAAAACAAAACAAAAACTAACAAGGCACTGTAAAGCTTTACTAAGAGACCTAAGACAGGGAAGACACAAATTTCCTAAACAAAAAGACTCACTGCTATGAGAGTGACCTTTTTCTTAGTTACCGACATAATGCAATTCCAAAGTGAACTAAAGATGTAAAATAGAATAAACAGATGAATAAAACAATGAGGGGATGCAAACATCTAACCTGAGTATAGGAAAGGCCTTTCACAGCATAAAAATAGAAAAGAAAAAAAGATCTGACTTTATAAATATGAAAAAGAAAGCAATTCAGGTCTCACAGTGGGAAGTTACTGTTTGAAGGGAAGAGTTTTAGGTTGAGAAGATGAAAAAGTCCAGGTGTTGGTTATGACAGTTGTATGACGTGAATGTTCTTAATGTCACAGAACTGTACGTTTCAAAATGATAAATTCGTTATATATACATTTTATAACAATTTAAATTTAGAAATGGTATAAAATTTAAACTTTAAACTGGGAGAGGTATTTTTACCAGAACTAATACTTGCAAAGCATAATGGAATCTTTAAGGTCTCGTATTTTATCTTATAAAAGTTGTTTTTGTTACTGTAATTCTACAGGAGTCACCCAATTCTAGTTAGTACATAAAGAAAGTATTCACTGTTCTGGGGTTCATTTAAAGTTTCTAAAATTGAGGGAACAGTAAAATTGAGAGGTATTTGGGGAAAATAAAAATCTACTATTATTCAATGACAGGATGGATCACTCAAAAACAAAGGCAGAAACAGAGAATTAAAAGAATGTAAATGCCTAACCCAAGGCCTCAGCATACACATTGTAAGTATTAATCACATTTTACACATCCATATATTTTTTTTCTTTAAAGTGTAACTTCACCCATGTAATCTGCAGTAAAACTACTTACCTGCTGATATCCTGGGCAAACTTAACTGGAAACAAAACTAGAATTCAGAGAAAGTTATTCGGTGCTACAGAGGGAGATGCAGGAAATCCCCACATGTGGGCACTGAGCTTAGTATTTCCCCAGTCCTAGAAACTTTAGGTCTTCACCTTTTGGTTAGGGTTTAAGGATTTCCTAAGTGAGGAATGGGGCCAGAGTTCACCTTGGGGCTTAATCATCAAAATCACTACTGGATTTAGGGTAAAAACACACAGTTACATTTTTCTTAAATGCTGCACTATTTTGAGTTATCTGGATTGAATTGTTTTAAAATTTGTTCTATGGTGCCCCCCCAAAACATTCCAGAAATTAGTACAAAATCTGTATAATCTGAAAACCCCACAATAGAATATAATCTGCCCAACTGGCTTTTTCTAAGAGAACTCATGAACAAGCTCATCCCTTTCTCCAGCCCTACCCTCGATGCTGATCCTGAGAGCATTGTCATACCTGACTCAGATACCAGCGGTACATGGGACAGTCTGCTCCTGGCCCTGGTTAGGGGCCTCCGAGGGTAGTCTTCATGAGACTGCACGTCACAACTCTCAGGCTGGGAGCTCCCCCTCCTGTCCTCACCTGTAGCCCCAGAGCCACTCCCATGAGTCCTCTCATCAGGTGCTGGGCCTGAAGACCCCCCTTGGGGCAGAGTCCTAAAGGAAAAGGTGGATCTCGTACCATCCGGGCCATTCACAACACAGGCTCGGCTGGTGGAAGGCCGTTCCTCATCAGAACACCTGCCAGTTCTCCTTTGGGATTCCCGGGACCTGTGACAGCAGCATCTGGGGCAGACAGAACTCTCTGCTTCTCCCTCGTCCATGGCCTCAGGGTCCTCTGACCCCACCGGGGAGCAGACACACTGCCGGGACGCATCCTCTTCCGGAGGGCTAGGCTCGGAAGGGCTGCTGCAGTTCACCGTCCTCGCGAAGTCGGGGCTCTGAGAAGCAGTGCTGTGGGAGCTGGCGCTTCCCACGGTGCTGGCCGCAGCGCTGCTGCAGCTGGGATAAACGTCCTTGTTTCTCTTCTTTTCAGGAATGTCCCTAGCTGCTTTCATATCAGCTTTGATCTGCTCACTGGTGACCTGACAGCCTTTCTCACAGCTGCTCTCCTCGAGGGGGAACTGCTTCGACTGGTCCATCTGGTGGGAGTTGTACCTCTTTCGAAGCGGAGTCTTGCCTTTTCCACTTACTGCTCACAGAAAAAGAACGGTCCAAGGGAAAGAAGAGATTTCAGTACACATTCTGAACAAAAAGGCAAGTCAATCTGGATGGGAAACAATGTCAACTGATTTTACTCACATATAACTACAGTTGGTTTCGCAGGGTTGTACGAACCTCTCTATGATTCCTACCCGGCTTACACTCCTTAGCTTAGCCTTCGAAGCTCACCACGGCTCCAAACAAACTTCCTACTTAGTTCCCTCTGCCTACAATCCACACCCAGCCCCAGCTTTTCTCTCGACCTGCCTCTGCTTCACTGGCAGGGCGCTTGCTCTGACCAGTTCATCAGCCCTGTGCCCTGCTGATGTCTGCACAGCTATCCCGAAGCCGCTGTCTTGCGTGCCCCTACATTCCCCACGGTGACCTGACTCTCCATCTAGACGGGAGGTTCCACAAAGACAGAAACCGTGGCTTACTCAGCTCAGGGGCCCTTGCCGCACCTGTTACAGTATCTGGGGCACAGTGCGGCTCAATAAATTCGGAAAGGAATAAACAAATAAGGTTCTGAACCTTTCATACAACATTTGTCACATTACTTTTCCATAAATGCTCTTTTCAACTAGTTTTACTTATCTGAATTTCTAAAAAGGAATAAGTGAAAACTAAATTGTCAATGGTTGGTTAGCAAGACATTCAAAATTGAAAACAGCCAAATTACCCATACACAGAAGTGTATGTGGATGTATGTATATTTTTTTTTAGTCTATGTTAAGTATACTTAACATTCAAACCACATTAAGGTATAAGGAAGGTACCCAAGGAAAACTGAGTAATGTTTAATAACAAATCATCCTTTGCTAAAAGCAGCAAGTATATGATTCTAAAAAAACAAAAAGGGGGCCAAGGATGAAGTATGAACCTAAAAGTTAGAAGGATTACAGGTCATAAGTGGGAGCAACTGATGTCCACATTTACAGAGTGGCAAGAGGGCATAAAAACGTGTTTCAGAACTCCCTCGAGCACCAAACTTGCCACCAGTGTTTACTAAGTGCAACTGGACAGTGTCAGCTGGGAACCAGTTGTTTCTTAACTGGCCCAATGACTTAGGAGTTGTCTCTTCCATGTGGCGCAAGCCTCTCTAACCCGGGGTCATGACCGCCCACACTGTGGGACCTGTGATTCTCACTGACTCCTCCTCTCCTGAGCCCTGGCCCATGTGTTCGCTGTGCTACCCCTGCCCCAGTAGTATGGCCAGGTTCCCTCCTCCAAGCTACTGGCCTTTTGCTTCCCTCCACATCCGTAAGGCATATGTTAACTGTACCACTGACTGCAGTGCAAGCACATGAGAAAGCCAAGGGTTCCAGTCCTGATGGTGATTCTCACAAACAGGTCTCACCTGACAATTCCCTGGACTCTCCGGTTTTTGATTCACGCTCAGAGTAACGCCGAGCACCACTCTTAGGGATCCAGACTTCTTGGAGTTCTAGACTGTCTTCCTCGTCATCACTCTCTGAGTCATGGACAGTAATCGGGGTTGGTTTTACTACACGCTGAAGACCACTGGGTCCTACAACAAAAAGCACAAGCTTAATAGTTACTCTTTGGCCAAGAAAACCCCTCACATGAAGTACTATTTCCAGAGATGTGGAGTTTCAGAGATGATTTTTGTTCTGTGAAGCCTCCTTTCTCTATCACTTTAATGGAACATGACTTGGAAAAGATACTGTGAAAGCATTTTAAACCTAAGCGCTATGTCAACATTGAGATGATTTTTGTTCTGTGAAGCCTCCTTTCTCTATCACTTTAATGGAACATGACTTGGAAAAGATACTGTGAAAGCATTTTAAACCTAAGCGCTATGTCAACATTAAGTACGATCAATGTGCCAACCCACTTTACAAACTGTTGAAGGTAAATTAAAGTAGATCATATGGTACTCCTCCTCCAGGAGCACCACTTTTCCAAAAGCATTGAAAAATCCTAAACATGACCCAAATAACCATCACAGTAATTTTAAAGAGCAGGCAATATATTTTCCTAATTTTGTAAATATATGAGCCAAGGAAAGGCAAATGAAGATAATCCTCATAAAAGGTACATGATTACTGAGCATCCTGCACTCACCGACTGACTACAGGTCTATGTGGAAGGTTAAATCCAAGTTACAAACTAGTCATTTGAGAATGTATCTGGTAGTGCAGCTTTTACACCTTTAGCTCTTCTCCCTCAATTTGGACAAGCGGCTAATTTAGCTCAACAAAATGTAAGCATCAAGGAACCTCGGCTGTCTACTGTACAATGCCCAGTAGAGCCAGCACTCAATAAATATTAGTCAAACAAATGATTACATCAATATAACTCTTTAAAAAAGGGCAAAGCTATTTTCAGTTCAAATATAAGGTAGCATTCCAACAGGTTCGGAGTGAGAAAACCTGCTATCTAGACTCAGTGTATACCTATAACACTGAGGAGCCATAGGGCTACTACTCAAAAGAACACTAGTTTGTCCTTTTGTAAAGTGAAGGGCTGTATAAGTAATCTTTAAGAGCATTAGGCTCCACAGATTGTCCTAAGTCACCCAGCAACAGCGGGTACATACTAACTTGTTTACTAAACTAGGTCAATCACTCCACTGCCCCTCACTGAGAGAGGAGGGTATGAGATTACTATACATATAGAACAAGGGTAATATTAAGGACTTTTTATAGCCCTAAACGAAGAACAGCATACAGCCCATCACCAACAGTAAGGTTGGAAAATGAATGTTCTCTTTCATGTTTTTCAATACAGCCAGGCTCCAGTTTTCAGAATCAGAGAGGGAGAAGTCACCTGCTTGCTCCTCATCAACATCCACAGGAATAATGGCCTGGCTGTGAGCTGGCGCAGCATTCCCACTCTCAGCCACCATCTCTCCATCTTCTTGTACCATGTCTTCCATCTCATTCAGTGCTTAAACAAAAATAAGCCAAAGTAAAAATCAAGAGGAGCAGAGGAAGCCACACCGGTAGGCAAAACTGCTTCAGTGTAGGGACGTTAACAAGAGGCTTCTAATTATTCTATGGAAAAGGAAATTATGGTAGGCAGAGATCACTGCTACAGAAAGCGTCACTGCAAGAAGCAAGCAAGGAGAAACAGACACAGCTAAGAGAAACCACCATGTTCATCCCTGAAGATGCCGCTGAGGATGGCTACATGACTGCCCTTTGAGCCATTGCTTAAAGATGGTAAAAACCAGCTAGTGGGGTACCTTGTGATCAACTTACAAGTAATGAGACTTGTAGTATCAGTCAGGTAAACCAGGATATAAGGGCAGGGAAGCTCTATTCTACCTTTCTCTTCCTAATGGGATTACCTTGCCCCTTAAATCTTGGTTTACCTGGCTAGTACCACAAGGCTCATTGCTTAGATTAGCGTATTATTTACTGGCTAATGTACGACCAAGATAATTGATAAACTAAGTACTTTTTTTTAACATTTCAATACCACTTAAATGTGCTATGCCTCCAAAGTTTTCATTATAGTTCTCAGTGGTTATTAACAAATGAAAATGTATGATTATTTTTTTATTATTTCAGAGGATGAGTTGTGAAAATTTTCAAACAACTAAGTGGCCATCTTACTGTATTTTAAAAAAGTAGTCACGGGGCTGGGGATTTAGCTCAGCGGCATAAGCGCCTGCCTTGAAAGCAGGCAGTCGTGAGTTCGATCCCTGGTACCGATAAAAAAACGAAAAAGACAAAAAAAAAAAAAAAAAAAAGTAGTCACTTTCCTACAGAACAGTAAGTAAAACAATATTCAGATTTACCAACATTTTACAAAATTATATCCAAATCCTTTGACTGAATACTCAAGAAACTCATTTCAATTATTATTTCTGAAGCATCTTTGACTGATGTCAGTTCAAATCAGGACAATACCTGTTTCAATCTTTAGTATGTGATTTTACAATGAAATGTACTCTCCACTCTGTACTGAGATGTTAATGGACACATAATTTTTTAGTGCAGTCTACAATCTATCCAGTTCACTAACTCCAACCAAAACTGGGTTTGTAAGATTTGGGCAGTTTTGCACTGCAGCTACTGTAGGTTTCCCATGGGTGGTCTACGCTCTGAAGTCCACAGCTTTATGATGCCAGTGACCTGTACATTGTGTGATAATGCTTAAACTCAGTTAAAGGAACAACAGCTAACTTCACACATTCATCTTCTCATCCCCGGCTCTGCACTTCTGCTTTTGTATCTTTGAGGCAAGTGTCTTTTGGGGAAAAGATTCGAGTAGAAAAATGTTTGTGAGTTCTGACATAGAAATAAGGCTAAATGTTGCTGCATTTACATCAAAAAAGTACAACGGCCAAGGTTAGAAATAAAGACTGAAATTCAAAAGCATACAGTTTGTACCAGTGCCACGATTCTGAAAGACTATGAGTAAAGAAAAAGAGGTATCAAAGAATAAAGTGGAATTGAGGAAGCAGCATCAGCAAAGGAAACAGAAGTCAAATGAAGTAGGGGAAACCAGCAAAATGGCTTCAAACTGCCAAAAGAAAGTATATCAGAAAGGCAGAAGTTGAGATGCAAAATGAGATAAAGGAGAAAAATAACCATCAGATTTTGTACGACAGTCACCGCAGAGTCTTGCCAAGAGCCAAATGTGCGGTAAGTGTGTAAAGACAAAACCTCTAGGTGACTTCGGATAGGACCTGCACACTCGTACCTTCATTACAAAAGCAGTGATGTACAGGACACCTTATTTCTCGTTAACTACTGGGCCTAGAGAGTGAGCAAAGCAGCAAGAAGACTGCTAAAAAACACGCCTTTTTCAGTTGTTAAGAGGCCAACTGGGACACTGGAGAATCTGGGAAGGCAAACTACTTCACTCATCTTCAGACAGAGCCTATTAACAAGGCTGTTCAATAAACATTAAAGAAATAGACAATTACATAAATGACATCCAGTAAGTCTTTATTAGCTCTTGTGTTTAATTAGCTGGGTGTCACGAAGATTTACTTATTGATTATAAAGGTATAAAAATGGTTTATAAAATAGCACATAATTCACATTCATTTTTTTCAGTTCTTGCAATATCCAAAAATATTCTCAATATTCATGCTGAATGTACCTATCACCTAGTCAAGGACATATTCAGAGGATATAATTGCTAGATCTTGAAAATTAAATTTCAGTTTTCCAGGTCTCTAACCTGAATCCCAAGGCACTACCCATTAGCCTTTCCCATTCTGTAAGTACTTAGATGTTTTGGACTAGGATAGTTTTGAAAACAAGCAAGCCAACAGGAGGATTTCACATGCTTTCTCAGCCAGGTTTCCTCAGTGTGGAAAGGGACAAGATGAAACAGGAAAAATAGGGCGGAGCCAGAGAATATGATCCAAAGGAAAAATTCATTTTTATCTGGAGCTCACAAAAGATCTGGGTTACCGTCGGCTGCAAACTGCTGTTCTCCTGGCTGCAGGTCTTGCCGGAAGTCATTCTCCTCATCTGAGTCATCTGGGTGATGGTGATTGTTGTCGTGTATGTTGGCGTTGTTGTTCTGAGCATTATTATCATTGTCATTGTTGGAGTTCTGGTTGCTAACAAGGGCTGAGGAAACCCCAATGCCTGTGCCTGCACTCAGGCCAACTCGAGCGCAGCCCTAGGGTAAAAACGAACACATTTTATTAATTTCAGTTGGTATACAAAACTTCCTTCTTAATATCACTTCATTTCATCTTTACATACAAACTACTATTTATGCAGTACTTAAAATTTATGAAATATTTTCATATATGCACAAGTCTCATTTAAGGCTCACAATACTTCAAGCAAGATAAAGTATTACTAGCCTGATTTACAGCTGATGAGGTACACAATGGGAAGAGATCTGTCCAATAGCACAGGACCAGTAAGTGCTACAGCTGGGACTTGAAACCCAGGACTCTGACCTCAGATCCTGAGCTTTTCCCATTATATTGCACTGCTTCAACAGGGGGAATGTAACCAATAATAACTGACAAGAGAGAACATAATTAGTTGAAGGATTAAGATTTTATTTCTGTGAAAGTATAGTTCTGGCAAGCAGTTTTAAAATGAAATTTTGTATAACTGGGTAACCTCAGATTTCCCAGGATATAAAAATTAATAGAACAGACTAAGTAAAACATTTGAAGTAACTTCCAACCTGTATTTTAGACTCTTAATCTACAAATAACTATTCTGAGTATTAGTCCTGGTCTTAGCTCCAATTTCCAGCCTCACCCTTACCTTACTTCTGGCAGCCGACAGAGCGCCCCTTAACTTTTCCTTTCTGTTCTCCAGAAAGGCCCTAACTACCCATTTACAAGGACAGGAGGAGGGTTTGCATTATTAAGTGTTTCACTTCCTCGGAGCCTGGCACTAATAGTCTAAGTGTAACACTGTAAGAGCATTATTTGTAAAAACAGAAGATTCACAGGTCGTCTCGTATTCTTCCTTGACTATCAAAACAAAACAAGAAACTCTCAAATGTGACTTACCTTTGGTGGTTCACGAAACATCTGGTCCAGTGAGATAAACTCCAGGCTGGGTAGCAATTCTATAAACTGGCCAAAAGAGTCCAGCTTCAAAGCGTGGCACCGTACTAGGTTGATATCAACCAATCGAGTCCATCTTGAGTGATCTGTTAAAGAAATAACATGACCAAAGTGAACTTAAACACTTCATTATTGGTCACTACAGGTCAAACTTTTTTTCTTTAAATTTTCCTTTATTTTAGGATCTTGAAAATTGTATTACGGTGTTTCTGTACCTAATTTCTGTTTGAGGACTAGATGGCCAGGGAAATATTAACGTGAAACCAAGTCAGCCCTGATTTAAATGTGATGCAGTCAGCAATCTATGTGCCTTTCAACAAGACACTGGATGAAAATATGGCACATTCACTTAACAAAACATCTTGCAGCTACTCCAAGAGAAGGGAAAAAAGCTGAATGTATTTGCTGATATGGAGACTCTCCAAAATATACTTAGTGCAAAAAATAGAGGACAGTATATACATAGTAAGATCTTTTTGTATATATAAATCATTTTTAAAGGCTAAACATGTATAGGCTGTAATATGCACAAAATAATTTGTCCAGAAGAATATATAAGAAACCGTTGATAATGGTTACCTTGAGAAGAGGAGACTTTTCATTTTGTACCTTTCTGTACTGTTTGAAATTTATCAAGTGCATATATTACTTTTATTTTTTAAGTGTTAACAGGAGTTCTGAGTGATGGGATTATAGGCCATTTTTTTGTTTTCTTCTTTATACTCTTCTGTATTTAAGAAAACAAACAAACCAAAAACCCAATAAATGTTATTTTTTAAAAGTGATCTATATCTGCTACATTCTAAAGTTCCTATTTCCCAATAACTTCTTAGTTCACCTGGGCTACTGATAGAATTCAACTTTAGGTAGTCAAGATACGGCTGTTTCTAGTGAGAAACTTGGCAGAGGGCAAGGGTCTTAAGACAGGCCTGAGAGTGCCTTTGTGAGGCTGTGTAAGATGATTTAATAGCAGAGAAGGCTTGTCTGCAGGCAACAGCTTGGGGCTTTGTTTCATTAAAGTGGATCTCATTGAGTCCTGAATCTATTTAAAGATTTCTGATTTTAGGCATTCAAGGGCCTTTAAAAGAAAAAGCAGTGTTACTTTTCAGAAAGAAAAACGAATTCCTACTATTTAGGAAAAATAGAGTATGTGAAAGTCATACTTCTACATATAGGAGGTCAGGCAGGGAGGTTTTCTAGTCAACAGAAAATCTCATGGCAAGTAAAGGATCTGATAAGTCAGCTAAAATTTTTAGATATATGTACATACTTTGTACTGTTAGATGATGTGCCATTTTGAATGTAATTTGGAGAACACAACTATAACATCATATGTGCTAGGTAAAAATTTATAACCTTAAATTTGTATGCCTCACCCAAAAAAAGAGTACATACAGAAAGGGCACCTGAATCTATCACTTGAACACAGACAACTGTAAAAGTTTAAAGAGGCATTGAAAAGGTATCTAACTTGGTTTTATCAAAGGTTCCCAGGACTTTAATGAATGATCCATATACAATATTTACATTGTGCATTAGGAATGTAATCAAATCACAGAGAAAATAAAGACATTATTTCACTATCAATGAAATGTAGCTGTATCTCTAAGCCTGCAATACCTGAAATCCAATTGTATGGGTTATGTAGATGTGGGCAATTATAAATGGCCAGGTACTTGATACAGGAAAAAACTTCATTGACTGCCTTCATTCCTATGTCAGTGATGATACCAGGATTTTCTACCACATCAGCCAAACCATACTTCACCAAATCTGCATTCGCCATTCTACCTAGAACGAAAAATCAGTTTCGAAGAAAGTCAAATTCTTATGTGATGGAGTGTTATCAATTTTGTACCTCAGCTCCCAAAATGAGTAATTTCATATCTTTCATGTTTTAAAATAGGTATTCTGAAGATATGATACCACTTCTTATATAAAACAGAATTTGTACTTTAAAAAGTCAAGAGATAATTAGCATGAAAAAATTATCTCCAACTTTTTAGAAAAGACAAGTAGAAATTCTTAAAAGTTTAACAGATATATTAATGTATAACACATTCAGTATATGGTATTGGTTTATACCATCACGAAGTTTTAGCTTTATGTTGCAAAAAGGAAAATGAAATCTTTAAAAGATCAACTTCTTTATAGTATAAGGATCATGTTTCTGGAGTCTGGTGTACCCAGACACAAGGAAGGGAGAACTAGGAAGTCAGATTCATTCTTTAGCGATACTGCTGGTGAATAAGGTATCTATCTGTCTTTCTAGTCCTTGACATGGACTTCTAACTGCAACCACAGCCAGGGACTTCTAGCACCTGCTGTCTGGTCACATGTGAGGGAGGGGGGCATGTAAAAGAGGATCCTCTGTCTTAGATCCTGCCTTTTGGAGGCACACTTTATCCCTTGTTTTATACTGTAATTTCTCCTACTGGCCTGTCTTTCACTCTCCCAGACAGTTCCCCTAGCTGTGCATGGTGCTGGAAGGACAAAGAGGATTGTTGTTAGTTCAGTTTTGACTTTGGTGTCCACCGTAGTGCTAGGGATCTAACAGCTGAACTAATGTCTTTCATGGCCTTTGAAATCAACTGACAGTATTTAAAAATGGGTGCTCTGGTGAAGTTGTTCTGAGCACTACAAAACTTACACTTTTACCCTTTAACATGTAAAAGTAGTCAATTTACTCCGACCTCCCAAATTCACTCTTCATATAGGTCACTCTTTCCCACTGGTACCCAGCACTAGTACTGATGGCTACTTTTGCAGGTTCCACCTCAATGCACCCTATACAACTCAGCTAAGCTTTAGCCTTCAGATAAGGACCTTTTCTTGCTGGCTGGACCTGAGACAAAACTTGCCTTCTCCTTGGGGTGCAGTAAATCTTGAGCTGATCCTGATTCCTTTGTACTCTATATAAACGCTACAGCCTAACACAGATCCTGAACTGATATCAGTCCTCAGATTACTAATCTGATCCTGCTCTAGAGCTCCCTGTGTGTCACAATTCTTTAGAATCCTTATCAACTGTCACCACTGTATTCACTTTTGTTTGTTTTGTCTTCAGTTCACAGGATAGCTAAAAGAACACGCCATCACAGCCTAAGTGCCACATTCTAATGTATGCATCACTTTTCACTGACTCCTCAGTCATCAAGGAAATACAGTCATTCCTATTTTAAAGGCGAAAAACTACAGGCTTACAGAACTTGTTAAGGCCCCATGATTAAAAACAAGCAGGCCTCAATTTCATCTCTATACAAGGTCTCAGAATAAAGATTAAACAGCTAATTCCTATGACTTTCCTATAAAACTCTGAGAGAAGTTCATGTGAAACAAAAACCCTTCTCTAACTATTCCTCTTTGGGTCATTGATTTTGTCACACCCATCCTCAGTGTCCTCAGCTCATGTCAGTAACTAACACATGCCAGGAACTTCTCTATGTCTAATGCACGGCTACCTGCTCTCCAACACAGCCATCTCCCCCACCGTACCATAAATATCATGTAAACATTGAACTTTTTCTAAAAAAAAAAAGTGACTCAGATTATCCCAAAGGCCACTCCTCTCCTCTGGGAGAGATACCTCAATACCTAAATTACAGAGCAGGAGCAAGTGTGTGAGTGAACAGTGACCTCTTATCTCTCTCAGAATGGTCTCTTACAGTGACCTGGCTCCTCTCCTGAAAGAGAACCCTAGGTCGTCTTTCAAGGAATAGAAGAGAGAATAAATACAAATGTATATATATATGCATGTAAGGTCGAACTACTCAATAAGAGAATGGCATAAAAAAGGCACAAGTTTTAAAAGCCTACTAAATATCAAAGATTATTATTGTATTAAAATATATGAGTGAAACACTTTTGTGCTATTGAAAACATTATGAGGAGAAAATCTGTAAGGAAAAATTTGTTACACATCAGTGTCCACCTATCTCTTCAAATAGATTCCTAACTCAAACACATGCCACGCAGAGACAAGCCTTCAGCTGACCTAAAGGGTGCTACCTTGAAGATACAAAATTTGTTAAAATTTAAGCTTTTGAGAGACACAGAAAATAAAATTATGGAAAGGACACTATATTCAAACTAACATGGCAAGTCACTATACAGGTATTACAGAAACATAGTGAGAACACTAGCAACTCATTTCATAACCAGAAAAACATGACAATAATATTTATCCTTTAATGAAACATCGCTACTATCTTTGCATTTTAAAGCTGTTGTGAAAAAAGGAGATCAGTTTCAAATGATTTCTGTTTTGGTTAGAAAGAATGGTTTGACTTTTTATAATAATCCTGCACCTACACTGAGAACTTCAACCACCACAAAAATCCCACACAGTAACTATTACTGTGACACATATTAGAAGTGAAAGGGGCTAGAAATAAAAGGGTAGCCATGATTTCTAACCTGGACTACTCTGTTAAGAATTAAGCCTCCTTAAGTATTTTATAATGCAAATTAGAGCTAAGGAAAAAATATTATCTGATACGATAGAGTTTAAGAAATGCTGCAAGTTACATGAGAAAGTAATTCTTAAAAAAATGGAAATTTTGGTAATAGAAATTTTCTTGAATTTTTTTATGTCACACTGAAAAGAAGTTTAAACCTGAGCACACATTCAATCCAAAAGGATGAGTTTCTAATTGACATGTGTACTAGAAAAGGCTATGAATAAGCCAGAGCAATTAACGTTAAATAAACACTAGTTTGTTTTGTATTAGAAAAACATGGCACATCCTTATTCAAATTTCAAGTCAGCAATTCTAGGGAGTAACATGAAGTAAGTCTTACTCTGCAGCAAAAACTCATCTACATATCCTAGGTGAAGGGTTTCAAACTGGGGGAACTCCAGTTCTGCCATCTTTAAGGCAGAAAAGACACCATCTTTGGTTAGGGAAGGCTGGATCCGAACTTCATGCAACCTATGAACAAAGAGAAATATGTCAGAATAAAACAAAAATCAACAGATCAGATTCCTCCTGATGTTAGGCTCTGAAAGAAGTTTATAATTTTCTTGAAATGTTACAGATGTCACTAACTTTTCCTTCTCTCCGGTAACATTTTTCAGAGATGTTTTCTTACAGGAATGTTTGCAAAGTATAGGCACATCTTAGGTAGTACTTGAATGACATGGTAAGACTCCTGTATCTTTTCTAAGTATTTTCATAAACATTGTAAGTCAAGATGAGAGTTTGCAAATTGTGGTGGTTAACTGATTGTCAACTGGTGTGGGAACACCCAGTTGAATTGAATCAGTGTGGTTCTGGGTGTGGAAGGCCCAATTTTAGGAAGGCTGCTGTTGGAATGGTATTAAAATGAGACCAGAAGGGAAGGATTTCAGCTGATCTCCTTGAAGGAGCTTGTAACTGCATTTCTTCAGAGTTTAGATGGTTTCCTTCAGAACAGCTCTGGCTGTTTAATTTCTCCAGGGGAGCTTCAGTCTTCATCTTCATCTTGGATGTCACCTCTTTGCTTCCAGTACAGGTATATGAGTCTTCCGGAACAGATCCTTCAGCCTCTGGGAAAATCACTTCAGCACCCAGCACCAGCTGCGGGCCTTTCTGGCAGATCCTCTGGTCTCCCACGGTTGATCCTTTGGCCTCCTGATGAGGACTTGTATGGGAGACTGCCAGGGGCTCCAAGCCACCGACTGGACCCTGCCTGTCTCCGGTGTGCACATGCTCTGCACTCTTCCTCATCCGACTTTAGAAAGCACCGACTCACAACACAACTGATGCTGGTATTTTTTTTTTTAACATCTTTCTTATACTCGTTAACACTTTAATAGAAAATATAGTTCTATAGGGCAGTAACAAACACCTACTTAAACTTGGCCTGTTTTATTTCATTTATATTCTTAATATTCTACTGATAAACACTAAAAGCTGTGTTTTTTAATACACTGAAAAAATTAGTTTATTCAAGTTAAATATAAAAATAAAAGCAAGGTACAATTTTGACAGGTGAGAAGTTGAAAATGTGGCATAAAGTGACTGAAAAACATAGTTTAAAGAAGAAAAAAGAGGCCTGGGGATATAGTTCAGCAGCCTGCCCAGCAAGCACAAGAAGGTCATCAGTTCTACTTCCAGTACCCCCCCCCAAAAAAAAAGATGTCATAAGGTGACATTTGCCAAAAGCCAATTTAAAACACTGATTTCTGAATAGTAAGTACTACTAACAGTTACCACAATTTCAAAAATCATCCAGAGATTGAGCAAACGGCTCTGGGGAGGGCTCCAGACTCCAGGGCTACAATGCCAACTTCTGTTGCATTCAGGCATTTCTAGACTCAGCTGCTTTTCTATGAGACCATTCCCATCCACAGCTGGCTAGGTCTGGAAGCAGCTCAAATGGTCACCAAGTTTACAACTGAGACTACCACTAAATGATATCCAACCTACTATTTAAATAGCTCATTTGCATTTTAAATAAAAACAATATCAAATTTTATACATAATCATATGCACACATCCCTTAAATCATGTAATATAAAAGAAATGTAGTTCTAAGGTAAAAGGTGTAAGGTGAAGAAGAAACATACCTACGGGCAGCAGTGATAATGAGGTAACCAAGATCTACTTCGAGAGCATTTTTGCAAGCTCCCAAAACAATAGTGTGCAAATTCCTGAAACCACCTATAGAAGAAAATAAACGAAAACAGTATTTCTTTGATCACAGCACATTTAATAAGACATTGGTACGTAACAATTATTCTTTTAAATCTACTTTGTTTAGTTCATAGTAGTATCTCAAGATGAACTATGAGTATTAGTTGCCCCCCCAAATGAATTCATACTGATACTCATTCAGATATTCATTCTGAGAATATAACCTCATGGCATCTGGAAATATCAAGAGATTTAAACCAAGCAAGAATTTTCAGTATGTTACAAGCTCATGAAGGAATTATAAAGAAGTAACTCTGACATTTTCTGACCCAATTTTGAATCTGTTATACCGTGAAACAAGACAATACTACCTTAACTTCAATAATTTCATGTTTTAAAAATATCTAAAAGAAGTAAAGCAAGGGAGGAACATGAATTATGGATGTAAAGCTCAATGAATTTTCATCCAGCACTGATTAGCCCATTTTGTACTTTTATAAGTAAAACCACAATGTACTTTACATGATTTTATGAAATTCATCTACATCACTGCCAGTAAGGGTTTAAGTTTGTTCATTCACATTGCTGCACAGTATTCCACTGCTACATTTTGATTACCCATTCTACTGCGGACAGACATGTGGGTTATTTCTATTTTGCATCTGTTGGGAACACTGCTTTTATGAACAATCTCGAGTACATCAACTGGTGAACATATGTATATACTCGTGTTGGGTTTAAAGCCAGGAATGCAACTTGTAATGGGTATGGCTGATGTGAGCACACACTGCTGAACAGCATTTTAAATAAACTATTTGTATCAACTTATGCTCTTACCAGCAATATATAAAAAGGTCTTGCTGCCCCTCCACATTTTAGCCAACTATTCTGCTTGTATTTTCCCAGTGAGTCACATATTGGTGGCAATGTCTGCACTGACAGGTCACACTGGGGTTTAATCTGCATTTTCCTAATGCTTGGTAAAAGTCATCATTTTTTCATGATGACTGGACATACCGATAACCTTCTATGTGAGAGCTTTTTTAATCAAGTCTTTTCTCATTCATTTTTACGCGGTTGTATTCTTTCTCCTTACTAATTTCAGTACAGTCCCATATATGTTGTACATATTCAAAAACCTTTTCCTACTCTATAGCTTTCCTTTCCACCTCTTAATCATGTCTGCTGATACATAAAATTTTTAATCTAAAAGTGATCAAAGTTATCAAATTTTTAAATGGTATGTGTGTTATAGTACCTTGTTCAAGAAATCTTTGCCTACCAAGTTAAGACTTTATTTTTGGTACCAGGAATCAAATTCATTAGCTTGCACTTGCCAGGCAGGCACTGACACTGCTGAGCTATATCCCAGGGCCAAAGTAAAACATTTTTAATCAATGTTTTTAATTTTCACTTTTCCTATTTGGACTGTCTGGACTTGATTTTTGTGTGAGACAAGCTGACTCTTAGTATAATACAAAGTACAGTAGGATCCTTCTTACATATGAATTAGAGAGGAAAATTGTATTTCTCTTTGAGGACCTTACTTAGCTTCTGACACCTCTTTCTAGGTCTTCACTCTAGTGAATGGACCACTGTGACCTTCTTTTCCCGACTCTTATTCTGCTGATTGTGACAATAATCCTGTTGGTCTGGAGAGAATCTGTTCCATTCCTGACTCAATATAATGAAATACACTTATTCCAGACTTAACTGACAAAATCTCTACATATGTACTACTCTTTATTATATCTTACCAGTTTTAACTATTTGTCTATTTATTACCAAGGATACTAGGAGGATTATCTATTTTACCTCATATAGTCAATGATAAAGTTTTAGTTTTCACCTACTTTCTAGCTAGGAAATCTCTGTTGTGGTGGAATAAGATGACTAGCAGCACAAAGTATAACCTGTACTTATCATTATTTAGCTCTACCTAAAGGATCTAAAAATTGAATATTTTTCTTTTAAAATCTGATGGACGGACATAATATCCAAATGATAGGCATAAAAACGTTTTACATACCAGAAAGTATTAAACAAATATTCAGCATCAAACACTATTAATAGTTGAGTTCTTTCTGGAGACTGAGGGTATTCAAATGATATCACTTATCATCAAAGGGTATGAGAAATCCTTGATCCCAATAAAAGGTATTATATTAAGCAATAGGTAACAGCAAGCCAGAAAACATGCTTTATTAATGCTATTGTTGATTTTAAGATATTTTTAGCATGCATAAAAAGGAAATGAGTACTAGCCTATACTCATGGATACTTAGTCTCCAAACGCAATTGCTGACAAGTATTTTCTTTCTAAAAAGATTTGGAAGAGAAGTTAAACAAAAGCTTAATGAACTTTTAAAATTGATTTTTAAATATTTAGTAACTAAAGAAAAACAAAGATACCTGATCTCCAACTGTCTTCCACCACATGCTGGATAAGACCTCCAAGGAAAGGGACGCGAACCATTTCTAAGTGTTCTAAGTTTCGGGCCGAGGACAAGCCTGTTACTAATGGGACATATTTCAAGGAATTTGTGGGCCCTGGGGAGACAAAAAAATCTTTAATGGAATACTGCAAGCTGCCGTAAAAAGGAATTCTCAAATCAACAACTGAAATGAGTAACTTTTAAACTGTCTTAAAATGACAGCCAAACTTTTGGCTCTTTGTGATCTGTAATTCTTATTCAGAAAGAATTAGGGTGTTAGCCATGCACTTATTCAGCACAAAGATTTTTTTATAACAGCAGATATATGTGGTGTTTCTTATACTAAAGTCCAAACTTTATGAGCTCAAAAAAAAAAAAAAAAAAAAGAGAAAAAGTGAAGATGAAAATGTGAGCTTTTACTTAGGTAACAGCCCAACCACTGAAATGTCTCATATGCCCCCAGTGCTGCACCAGGTCCTATGGAAGATCTGAAAAGACACTGTCCTGTTCAGCATGGCCTGCCTACAACTGACATGGAAACAGTGTGAATAATTACGAAATAATCAGAAAGCATCAAGTATCAAAATAAGATCTGCTATATTCCATAAAAAAGAAAAAAGATAATGAGTAAGTTGGAAGGGAAGACCCTGGAGAGAGAGAGAGAGAGAGAGAGAGAGAGAGTGTGTGTGTGTGTGTGTGTGTGTGTGTGTGTGTGTGCAGTAATGAGGAAACACACTGACGTGGAAGCTGTATCACAGTGCCAGACAGTGAATAGGCAGCTGTGAATAGAAAAGAAGGTACACCTTGGAAAGGAGTCAGATATACCATAAAAGCAGTTTAAGATTAATTAGGTCCAACAACCATTTATGGGAGACAAGTAAGAGATCAAAGACAGAAAACAGACTCAAATCCGGAACATATTTCTAAGGAGCACACCGATAGCCTACCATTTTTGTTGCTGTATTTTTTTTTTTTTTTGCCAACATCAAACACGAATCATGTTTCTAATGTCTTCAAAACAATTTATAAAGCAAAAGCAGTAATAGCATAACATAATTTTATCATACTATAGCTATGGAGTTTGCTTTAGAATATTTTTAGAATAGCATGTTTAATCCCACCATAATCGTGACCATTACCTGCACAGTTCCTCATGACAAAAGTTCTTAGGCTGATGCAAAGAAAGTCTTTAAATGGCTGTGGTTTAGTGAGTCTTACCCACTTCATATAAAGATGCCTGAGCATTGGGATACAAGGGATTTCAGGAACATTCACTCCTAAGGACATATATTAAAAAAAAAGATTAACAAGAAAATTGCAAAACTACTCTGCACTGTGTATACAAGTTTAGGAGTTTACTTTTCAAACTGACAATTCACCTCTCAAGGGGAAACACATATAGCCCATCAAATTTGGTTTATTTAAAACAGGCTTGTAAAGAACAGCTCATTATTTTACATTTTTAGAAAAGAATTCAAAAAGTAGTTTTATATTATATACATGTAAGTTTTTCTCATAATGCTGCAACTCTTCCAGAATACATTTACCCAGAAGACAGGCAATGCAAATAGGTTACTGAAGCAAAACTGTGAAGATTTACAGTAGAGAAACTAGAGAAAACGAGGTTCAGATCAAAATGCAAGATGCAGAATTCAGAGTTAAGTTCAGCAAGCTCTCTGCAGATGGCACTGCTGCTGTACTGAGTAGGAGCCCTACAGAGCCCCGTGTCAGACACACCCAGTGACACGTAAGCCTATGCCTAATACACACTGTCCATAAACAAAAGACACAATTATCCATTGCCTGTTGTGCTTACTGATTCACTTTATCACCATCACAGCGTCAAGCTCTTGAATCAATCATATAAATTAATGTATTTCAATAAAACTACCTAAGTACTTAATATTTGCAATGAATTAAGACAGGCAGTGTTAAAAATATAACAAAAGACATAAATGTGGTCTTTGATCTTAAAAACTTATAAACCTAAGACATCCCAGTCTCTAACTAGAATCACTATTTTATCTTATAAATGAAGGGCTGCTAGAACTCTCCACTTTTTTCACAGTTGTGTATGTAAGTCTTATTTTAAGACCTAATCATTATCACTCCTCTTGCCTCTCTTTTACCATCTTACCCAGTTTCAGAAATTTCCAGTTCTTTGGAACATTATTAAAACCAAGAATAATGTTTGGAACATAGTAAATAAAATATGTAAGGTCAAACTGTATTAACAGGGCTCCCCAAATACTGTTTTAAGAAATCTAAGCTAAAGATACCAAATTAGAGAAAAATGTCTGCCCCAATTTAACTTCAGTTGACATTATGGAAAATTTCAAAGAATATTTAGATGGAGAATATACTTTGACTAGTGCAAACAAAATCATTTTTGGAATAAGACCACCCTATTCCATGTTTTAGGGACAAATTTAAGTAGCAGCAGTTTTCTGTTGGTTCTTGGATGAAGAACATATGCTAATTGTCTTGCCAGGAGAAGCTACACATAAGTAAGCAACTAAGTTTTTTTAATTGGTGATGTTCTAGATGAAGCTTTGTTATAAAGTAGTAGTTATATATATCTAGCTATTTAAATGTAAATAAATTAATGTAAAATAAACGTTGGGTTCCTCAGTTTGACTAGCCACAATGCATAGCCCACAGCATAGATCAAATATAGGACATTTCTATCATCTCCAAAAACACTGTATTAGAGAACCCTCCTCTAGAGGGCTGAACTAGGACCAAAAGATAGATGCTAGAAAACTAAGAGCAGGATTCTGGCTCATTGGAACAAAACAAAATGAAACTTTCAAAAATTAGTCACCTTTAAGGAAGAACAGATTGATTATGAAGTCCTATTGTCTCTTGGGGGATCTTAATGAGAAGCCTGAATTGTTATAGAAATCTAACAAGCACTGTTTTTTTATTTTGTTTTAGCCACCACCAATCAACAAGCCATGTGTAAAAGTCTCACTATTCCTTTTTTGTAAATATTTAGTCATGTGGCATTCCAAGGAGTTACAAATGACACTCACCAACTAAATGTAAAGTTTGAATTTTCGCTCCTATAGGAATTTTCAGTTTATTTTCAGGAGGAATTGGAAATGCTCCATTACGATTGCGAAATTTCCCCAAAATATGAACATGTGGCATATATGTCCAAATGGATTCTACTAATTCCAAATGCGATGTTTCCACACCCTAGAAAATACCACCAAAGCAAGCATAAGACAAACCTTTTAATTAACATCCTATACTTCTATTTCTGTTTACAAGACATTAAGAAGGCAATGCAACTTAAAAATTTGCTGGAGTTAGTATCTACAGGTCCTATTATTTTTTTGATCCATTACATCATCTGCCAGTTGACATCACAACAGAAAATGCACTCACCACCAAGTTTGGGCATGCCTGTAAAGCTTCTAGGACTCCTGGAATGCTAAACGCTTCATGGCCCCTTACTCTTCGTCTCTCAAGGTATCGAGGGTGAAGACCATACAGCTGTTCAACATCTGGCATCTTCTTCAAAAGTGTTAAGAAACTGGAATCTGTGAAACCTGGCAAGTTCAGAAGCATTTAGAGCCAGGTGCACCTTTCTGCTTATGATCACTTACTAAGCATATTTATCAAATAAAAATTTTTAAAATCCCTCTTTAAATTTTTCATAAAGCTAGCATTAACATGAGTTGGATAAATGGTTACAGCAGAAGATATATTCCTTCTGTAACATACGAAATGTGTAAGACTCTGCATACTCTGAATTACCTCTTTATTACTGAGCTTTTTCATTTCTTATTGTCTTTTGTTGTTACTTTTAAGGCACAGAAGTTTAACACCACGCATTTAACCCAGAAGATGTGGACACACATGCTTAGTGGACTAACAGGGCCACCCACCTGATCCTCATTACCCTGTTCCCTCCCAAAGGTGTTTTCTGGTATAAAATGTAGTCAGGATCATAACTTCCATCTTCAGGAAGCCCACTTTCAGCCTAATTCTCAGATAAAGCCAATTTCTTTTATTGGGTTCACTTACTAGTAATTATTCTGTTTTCTACATATCGCCCTTTCTGTATCAGATAAGACAGGTGAAAGTTGGCTAAAAAAACAAGATTCATTCAGACTAAAATGATACTGAGTTGACAGGGAGCCATTTATCTGAGCAAACCGTTTTCACTGTAGGAAATCAACAAGATGGGAGCAGAGAAAGGCAAATGACTTCCACAGGAGACACTGGTTCAAAAGACAGGGAAACAAGTGATGTACAGATATTTTCCTTATCAGTGGAGCCTTGGAAAGTGTCTGCAAGCCAACTGTCTGCTTGTTAATGACAAAAATATTAACTCTCAAAAATAAAACGAAAACTCAAATGACCTAAGTCTTAAGTATCACAGTTTTCAAAGGTTACTGTTTGTGCGGGGCTACTACTGATATGGTAATAGAGACTCACAAAAGTGAGGGAAAAAAAGTAACCTTGGGGAATACTTCATACGTGTAACTTTGGCAGTTTTTTTCTTTTTTCTTTTTTTTTTTTTTTTGTCTTTTTCCTTTTTATCGGTACCAGGGATCGAACTCACGACTGCCTACTTGCAAGGCAGGCGCTTATGCCGCTGAGCTAAATCCCCAGCCCCTAACTTTGGCAGTTTTAATTACTCTCTTGTAAAGTAACTTTTACTAAATGAACTAATAAAAGCATTTTTCTTATTCTCATACATAAATGAAAAAGTTATCACTTCATTTATAAATGTAAATACAAAAAATGACAGAGTTTAAGAGCTACCAAGTGGCAGTCCCCAGAATTCTACTGTCTGTAAACTAATGACATCTACCTTCTGTTATACCTTACACACTGCCTCTCGCCATAAACAGGGAAGTTCTACTTCCTTTACACAGATGTATGAAACTCCATATATAAACCCTAAAACTCCATATATAAACCCTGAGCCTGGGCAAGATGGTGCTAATGAAAGGACTGCAGGCTAAACAATGCTCCACTTCTCTTTGATATTCCTGGCAGAAATGAAAACCCTTGGGTTTACTGGTATGTATCAGAACCCTGCACACTGATCCTTCTCTAATTTGATAAGGATAAAGCTGTCAATACTAAGACTATACTACTTGCCCGAGTAATTCTGTATCTACAGAGCATTAATCCCACCTCCAGAACTCCTGCTGACTTAACCATCTACAATAGCAAATCTAATAGAGTAAGACAATCATTTTGACACTGCCTTAATTCTTTTCTTTATACTTAAATGATTGCTCTCTGGAAGGAGAGGAACTCCTTCCCCACAGGATGTAAGTATATGAAGATAGATATAGTATGTCTCTATCAAGCTAAGTTCTACTCTTAGGTATTTGCAATATTCTTCACTCTGACTAAGGGTTGAAACGTACAGGACCCCAAATTGCATAATATTCTGGTATCTTAGTGATAATCTGTTCTGCGCTACAGAGTAAGACAATTTTCTCCTTAGGCCTTTCTTTTGGTTAAGACTTGTTTTATTTGTTATCCCTCTCAGCCTGCTCATACCTTCAAAATCTGATGATCTGGACAGTGTAGGAAAAGGATGAACAGAAATGTTTCTTTACTGAGAAACAGTAAAATACACCAATCAGTGTGTAGCAGCATCAACCAAAAGGAATACTTGATTGGCCTTTTCAAAGTTCTTCCCTTTTAGAGGTGTTGTGCTTAGCTGAAGTCATCAATTTTCTTTCCTGACTATCTTTTAGGTCATTTGCTGCAGGTTAGCTGGCTAATTCTGAATAAATGGAGAACTCAGATTTGAGCGTATCTAAGACCTAGTATAAGCTTTTTTTGTGTTTGTTTTTTTTTTAAATTGGAGACTTAAATTTTTAAATTGGTGCTCGCACATGCTTGGTAATTGCTGTGCTACTGAGGTACATCCACAGATCTTTTTCACTTTTTATTTTGACATGAGTTTTGCTACGCTGCCCAGGCTGGCCTTGAACTTGCAAACCAACTGCCTTAGGCTCCTGAGTGCTTAAGATTACATACAGATGTGTACCATCATGATCCTGAACAGCTAATTTGGGCTTTTAAAAACAACTTAAGAAATGTAAGCCTCAGAAGTAAAATGTCTGGGACCTGTATAAGTTACCTTAGAGTAGTGGACAGATACCTAATTAAAGAGTGCTATTAGCACACAGAGGAAAACTATGATGGAGAATGTCGCTATTTACCAGCAAACCTACGTCAAAGAATACAGAACATACTGTTTAGTAAGACATACATGGATTTAGCTGGTCAAGAGTTTAGTGAGTATCTAATCATATATGTGTATGATAGGTGGAGGATATCTAGTCACTTAAGGGTTATGAAATGAAAACAAGAGACCACTAAAACAGTGAAGCTTCAGGCAAAATGTGTTTTACTCAGCTAAAGCCAATATGAACAATTTGGATAAAATCTAACCTCCCCACAAACATGGTGACTCAGATTTTCTTTCTCAAGACCAAGTGGCATGTTTTATGGAATCACTGTCTCTCTCCAGTAGGGCTCCACAGTACCTTACAGGCTAGATGTACTTACCACTTGGCATATACTCCCACCAACGCCCTGCACAGAGATCCACGATCCGCACGACTCTCAGATATAGGGTCACTGCTTCCTTCAGCTTCCGGGAAAGACATTCCATACACATGATATCCTGCAGAGGGAGGTACCTTTTGTGAGAGAAAGAAACTCATATTTATCAAGCAGTACATACTTCTTCACCATTTTTTTTTCTTCCTCCATTCTGCTACCCTTCAAATGAAATGACATCTTTTAACACTCACAGGGTTTTATGGCTAACACACCTAGATCATATAGGTTTAACAGGTCAGGTCAGCCATACTTAAGTATCCAAAGTGTTGCATGCTCTCCATGGGACATTTAATAAAACTTTGCCTTCTTTTAAGTTTTCCTGGGTAAAGAAAATATAAAAACAAAAAGCAAAGGAAGGAAGACAAAAACACCAGTGTGTATTATGGCTTATATCTAGAATGTACCCCTCAAAGTCTCACGTGTTCAGAAGTGGGCTTTTACAAAGGAGACTGGATCACAGGGACAACATGCTCACTCCATTGTAATTAGTGAAATCGGCTCAGAACGTTAGGTGTGCAAAAAGTCACACAGCTACGGAGAACGGGAAAAGGGCACAGATGCCAATGGTTTGATAAGACTCTAATTTCCAGAAATTATGCTAATTTTAGAAAGTACGATATTTCTATACTCCATTTTTTCTACCTCTTGCCATTCTCCCCTTCTTTTTAAAACTGGCTAGAATTAAGTCAAATTTCCTACCAAAACAGCTTGTTAGTTACAACTTAACCAAGTCTCTATAAATTAGCTATAAGTAATTTTCAGAAACTACATGATTACACATTTTTATCCTAAATCATTTTGCCATTCCAGTATTTTTTTTCTAAATAACTGATACTTATTCAAAAGACTGCCTAGGTTAATTTTATACTTCCTTTAAATAAAAACAGATCAGTAATAAAAATAAAGATTAAGATGATTTTACATCATATTTTTCCTAGGAAGAAAAAGTGTATTTTACAAAGGTACACAAAGGGCTAAAAAAGTACAAAAGGCATATATTTTATTTTACATTTTAGAAAAAGACGCAAGATTAGATTTCTTTTAAAGAATGCCCAAGTTTTTCTTGTTTCATCCACATGTTAATACACCGTTACAACAGGTAAAAATTTAGATAAAAATTTCAAAGCCTAAACAAACTTAATCTGTTTATTTTTAGAATAAACATTGTACGACTTGTAATTCTTCTTTCACTGTCTTTTTTAGGGTTGGGAGACGGTAGTAGTGACTGAACCCAGGGTTTTCACAATGAAGTACATCCCTAACCCTTTACAAAAGTGTTTGAGACTAAGTCTCAGTAAGTTGCGCAGTTGGGTTCAAACTGTCATCCTCTTGTCCTACTGTCCCAGACTGTGGAATCACGGTCATGTGCCTCAATGCCAACCTCACATTTTACCAGTTTGCTGTATATTTTCATTAGACCTAAGATTATAGATTCTATACTTGATTTTACCCCTTCAATTCAAATATGCTGTTCAAGTGCAAAATATCATCTGACCTACTTCCAACTTAGTCTAATTTATTAAAAATTATTTTACTGAGACATATCTGTACATCTTTATAGGCTATGGTGGGAGAATTTGATAGATGTATATAACACATAATGATCATTTAACAATTTCTAACATCTACCCTAAAGACAATTTTATCTATACTTTCTTTCAGTTATAATGGCAAAAAATGAAGACATATTTTTACTTTTTTCTCCAAATGGTTTGTAGGGGGTGATTCCACCATTGATTAATTACACCCACCTTTCCTTACTTATATGAGTACCAACTGAATCATAAACTAGATCACCACAAATATTTGAATCTACATACAGAGTTTATGTTCTTTTGTTTTGCCATGACAGCATGAACATCAAATCGAACTATTATATACTGTAGGATGCACTTAAACATCTACGAGGGCTAATCTTTTTCAGAAAGTTTTGGAACTGACAGACTTTTTTGCATGAAAATTTTAAACTACTAGAAGAAAATTGGGTCTTTTATTCAGACAGAACTGAACAAAACCTATATATGTCACAAAATAAACTGTAGAAGAGAAAGACTAATACAGTGTATATTAGGAAACACAAAGTATCCAAATTCTTTAACTCTATCATCACTATCTCCAGTAGTTTATAAAAATTCAATACACTGTAGAAATTTCAGCTTATTTATGCAAACTTTTTTTCTAGGTAAAGAGTATAAAGAAAAATTCAAGTGTTTGGAAAACTTAATTGCAATTGTAACTATAGTAAAGAGAAAAACTGCAAACATCCAGGTTAGATAACAAAGCAAATGGTATGTCACACACTGTATATACATTCTATAATAGTAATTATAAACACCACGTAGCAATATGAAAATAATTACTAACAGTGAACAAGTAAATGTTACAAAATGCAATGAGTGCTTCAAAAGACCATCTCACAGAATTCATATAACATTTTTATATCTAACACAGCTAGTAAGTGGTAAACCTAGAATTCTAAAACAGATCTCTAATTCCAGAGATTATTGATTTGAATGGTATAGTAAAAACAGTAAACAGAAAGATACAGAATCTAAACTAGCATAATTTTTCTATTTCCATTTACACATCTGCTGTTATAAGGGAGTTTAAATAAAAACACAATTTTTAAAAGTCTGTTTCTTTAAAAAATGTGTTAATAACAAAATGATTTTAATGTAGACACTGCATATAGTACAACGGGTATTATTTCACAAATCTTTATTTTTTGGTGGCACTAGGAATGGAAGCCAGGGCCTTGCACATGTTAATAAAGTACTCCTTAGCTACAGCCCCACCTTTCAAAACGTTTGTTTTAAATTCTTTCATATATGTGTATATTCAAAAAAACAGGTTTTCCATTGCAAGGTATAGCTAAAAAAAGTCAGAAGCACTGCTTCATGTTTATACACGGGTATTTCTATAATGTTTAGTAAGCACTTGAAAATCAACTAATGCAACAGAGCATGAGTTTCCATTTTACTTTATGGAGATATACCTTGCTATGAACTAGATATCCTCCTGCTCCAGCCCCTTAAGTAATTTAAACTTAAACTCTATACAGAGCTAGTGGCTACCACATTAAAAAGCAAGGCACTAGGGTTTGCCCTTACTTTTATAGTCCAGGTAGGTGGAATTCAATCAAGTAAAATCTTACCTAAATATATGGCAAAGTACTTCATGTGAAAGTTGATTCATATAGTCCTTTGTTTCATCTGGTATTACTTCCTCTGGGATTTCATCATTTATGAGACACATTTTAACACTTTTCTTTCGTGGTCCCATTGTTGCGTTCCCTCTGGTATCAAAGAGCAAATTTCCTTTCCTGGTTATATGAGTTCAAAGTACCTGAAAAGCAAGCAGAGAACAGAATAAAGCAATGCACCAAACCCAACCCCAGAGCTATCCCTAGTAAAACCTATGTAAAACAATGTTTATAATTCAGCTGTGGTGGTGCCTGTCTGTAATCCCAGCATTTAGGAGGGGATCACCAGGAGGGAGCTCAAGGACCATCTGGGCTACATAGTGAATTCAAAGCCAGCCTGAACTACATAGAAGACCATGTTTCAGGAAAAAAAAAAAGTAAAAAAGCACTCTATTATGAAAGTGGGAATAGCTTAATAATGGTGAACCAGATAAAACAGTTTATATGAAATATTGGTCTCCTTATAGTAGTAAGGACATTATAGACAGAAAAGTAGGCATAGGTTGATAGCTAAAAGGAAGTTCTAAATTTTCATTAATTTAGGCATAGGTTCATGTACTCCTTTTGAGAGCTTATTTGGAGGTTTTAGCAGGGGTGTGCAGAAGGGTTATATATCCCTGACCCAGTCCTTCTCTATCTGGTGTGATTGTCCTCTTCAACCTAGTGTGTAGCTTTGGGAGGGATGCACAAAGAATGGTGAGGGAAGCATGGGACACCAGCCTAGCCAGCCAATTCAGCTGGTAATCAATGGAGTGACAGATGTCCCACCGGACTACCCTCACATTCCACGTACTTATTTTGGAAGTCTACTGTGGGCCCAGCAATGTGAACAAAGGACACCGGAGGCAAGTGAAAACAGACAATCAAACAATCATGCAAAATAAGCTTGGATTTCCAAATTGAGATAAATTTTATAACTAAAGTAAACAGTGGCCTGTGATAAGGCAGCTTGAGTCTGGGGTTCCGAGGGAAGAAAGGACTGAGCAAGTATCTAAAGGAAAAGCAGGAATTAACAATGCAAAAAAGGAACAGGGAAGAAAGCAAAGCACTCCTGAAAGTGCAAACAGCATGTGCTGGCTCATACTGGGAAAGAGCTTTGCTCTAAGAAGGAACCGAAACAAAACCAAAGGTGTTAGTGTGCAGAAGGTGACCAGGAAAAGGATGAAGATGCGTCTCAATTGCTTGCAGGGCTCTGAAACCACCATATGACGGGAGCCCACGGTAACACTGTGAAAGTGAGTGGCACTACCACACTCCAACAGCTCCAGTCCCTCCAAGGGACCAGCTGGGTAGAGGTTACCAAGGTGCATGGTGTTTCTTTGCTGCAACAGGAAATGGAAGGAAACTGCTAAACTAAGTGAAATCTTCACGTTTCTTGTGCCTGTCCGTATGTGTACTCTGGTCTCTTCCCTCGCTGAAAGGTTCCAGTATATGCTCTTATTTCTTGCAGGTGTCAGTGTCCTTATCCCTCCCCAACCCACTCCTCCATCTGCTGCTTTTAATCAGCGATGGTCTGCAAAGTCAAAGAAACACGATTTTAGAATTGCAAGTGGTTTCACATCCACAGGTACCCAGTGGGCACAGCACTTCTCAAGAGTCATGACAAAGTATTAACAGGCTTATCTCCGAGGACTGAGGACAGAGACAGGAAAGTGAGAAGAAACCCTGACTCTTCACTTCATATTCTCCTGTGTTGTTTAAAATTCTTAGACTAGCCACGAGGATTATACTTCTTTAGAAAACTAATAAGCAAAACAACAACAACAAAATCAGCTTACGTGAAGTCCTGGTTCCCAGATGACAGATCCAGTCCTAATCCCTCTCTCCGGCTCATCCCTCAACGCACACCACTTGCTCCTCCGTATTCTCAATCCAGCAGCACCTCACAACACTGGTGGTCTTTCTTTCCTAATGAGCTAGCAACTGTGGATGGAACGCCTTTCTCCCCCTTTTTTGCATAAGAGCTACTAACCTTCAAGATCTAGTGTAATCGGTTCATCTCCTCTGAAGACTTCCTACTTACTCTTTTATCTGTGTTCCCCACAGAATTTCATGTTTCTACAGCAATTTGTGTACTGTTTTGGTCATTTCTGCCATGAAAAAAGATGTGAATTTTGCCTCAATCTTGCCTCTTTTCATAATAAATTCAGAACTGTCAGATATATACCTGTATGACTTCACATACATATCTAGTAGCTAGGGCTAACACTATGAACCACATCACACTTCTGTAAGCACTGTTTCCTCACTGAACTCAGCAACAAGCTTATGATGCTAATGATAATACAATCAGTTCTACTCCAACAGGAACACAAATAACAAAGGGCTACTTCTAGCATGCAAAAGCCTCAAACAAACTACTCACCAGCACTGACTAAACTACTTATGAATAACCTGTAGTTAGGCTCAGACCTCTAATACTGCACTTTAGCACACGCTTCAGTTTTAAGAACACAGACAGTGAGCCAGGTGTGATGTGCACACCTGTAATCCCAGCACTTGGGAGACTGTGGCAGGAGGATTGCCCTGTAAATTCCAGGTCAGCTCAAGTTACAGAGTTCAAGGTCAACCTGCACTGCATAGAGACACCCATCTCAAAAAGCCAAAAAAGAATAGTCAATCTGAATGGTCCTATTCCTTTGGAGTAAAACTAGTGCTTACCGATTGTATTTAGCTTCCAGTTGGAATACGAAAACCTAAAGAAAATAGGTTGGGTTCCCAGAGTCTTCAAGTAAATACACACAGACACCAATTCTGACAACCTTTAGGGACCATGCTATTAGTTCTGCCTTTTTTTGTTTCACCAGATACACAAAACTTAGTAACTAATAATGTACTTTTACGATTTCATGTTTGATTATTCTTTATTTTTCAATGGTTTAGTTTTGTGAGTCACATATAGTAGCCCAGTATATAACCTATACCTTAATTTTCAGACTAAATTGTTAGTGCCCCTAGTATCATTAAGTTTATAAAAGTTTACTTGTTCAGCATTTAAAAAATATTTACTCACAGAAATGTTACTATACATAGTTCAGGTCTCCAGCAAACCAACCAAAATCTAATTACTCTCTGAATTACCACTAAAGACCAAGAAGCCTAAATTGATAGGAGAAACATTTTAAGACAGTATTCACATTTATCATGCCTAGAATTGAAGATTTGATCTTTGGTTTGTGTGTGTGGAACCAGGGACTGAACTCATGACCTTGCGCTTGCCAAGGAGGTGCTTATGCTGCTGAAGAAAATCCCCAGCCCCTAAGATTTGATCTTATAGCTATCTACTCAGCAGGCAGAGTAGGGCTTGCCCATGTAAGTCTTTGGAGGGAATGAAAAATGGGGTAAAAGACAAGCTCTTAACCAGGTAGAAGTTCCATCAGCCCTCTTTAGTCCCAGGAGGCGACTCTGGAAAAGTGTAGAAGATATAAAGCTTCCTCACTAAAGGAATTATTTCTTTGCCCTCATTTCCAGTCTTGACAAAAGAAAACAAAACTATCTGGACTAAAGCTGGCATCATTTTCACTTACGTGAAACACCCAGTTAGGATATGTTGCACATTTTATTCCAAGCACTGAGGGATACTGCCTCGGTTTCCTTGTACAAGAAAATACCAAAATTTCAAGAAGTGAATGTGTCTCTGTTGCAAGCGTACTCTCTCTCGTTTTCTTTTCAGTGGGAAGAGGGATAAAACAAGAAAAGGAGAAAATGGTCTTCACAAGCTTTCTGTTTCTTTTTCTTCCCACCCCTTTCTCTAAAATCTCATTCTATGTTCACAGAATGAGAACCCTTCCCAGACCTAGGCCTCCTGGGAGTTTGTATTTGTAAAGCCATGGAAAAGTTACTGGAATTCTAGTGAGTTAATTCCAATCCATCACGTCCAGTGCAACCCACAGTGAGAATAAAGACACCCAGGCATATTTCTAGTTGTGGGGGTCAAGGGGGTCCTCAGCGGGTGACGTCTACCTGGAAAAAAGGCCTCAACATAGCGTAGAATGTGGGTTTTATTAATTCTCAACAAGGGGAGTGGCTCAGAAATGAGTGACTGCTAGAGTGGCAGGAGGTGAGTGAGCTGGGCTAGGGAGCGAGGCCGGCATTATTTCTGCAATTATGTACAGCAAGAAAAATATGAGGATCTGTGTAACACAGCTTGAGGTAGTATCTAATGTTTTGGGGGCTAGAGCTTCAGGTCTGATGTGCAAACTTTTCTGCTCTGAGAAGTCACAGCCTCTTATCGCAAGGCTGGGTCACAGCTGACAGTGAGCAGCATAGAGTGCGGTGGCTCTTCATCACGGAGCCTGCTTTTTGGGAGTCACAGAGTGGGAAACAGCTGTCACAGATCTTCAAAGATTATGATCAGCACCTCAGCCAGCCATGTACACTGCTTAAAGCAATGTAATTCAAGGGACAGAGAAATGGCTGAGCCAGCTCTGTACATATCAGTACATGGTTTAGCCAAAATGGAGTAACTGCTCTTTATTCAAGGAGAGTCCTCCAGGTGGTCCTTCATACTTTTCCTTGAATAACTCAACAAAGTAAGGAAAGCCTAGGACAGTAGCAGGTTAAAGAGAAAAGAAAGGAAATTTCAGCTACCAGCAGTAGAGAAAGCCTAACAGAAAATCATGGAAAGAGAAGGAAAGATGAATGTAAACAATGCACAACTACAAATATGAGACATATGTCGTAGCCCTAGAAAATTTTTAGAAATTTCTATCTTGCAGCACCAAGTTATCTCTATGATTACCAAGTTTTCCAGGCTCAGATTCAGCCTCAAAGAAATGTCATTCTGGAACAATTGTAGAATCGATCTGAGAATGCGGAAAGTTGAAGGGGCCCCCAGAAACTATCTTGTCACACAATTCTAGAGATCCCTACTCAACATTGGCTCCTTAAGATTTTTAGATGGATGAACAGAACCAAAGAGGATGACCTGCCCAAGGTCACACAGAAATGTCAAAGCTCAGGCTCGGATTCAGCCTTTCCTGCCTACACTTTACACCCCAACATCAAGTCTTCTGCCCAACAGCTGCTGCTCTGCATTCCAAAGTGATGACCCAATGCTTGAAGATGGGCTTCAGGATGCCCTGACAGAAGGGCCTCTGACCACACCCTCTACCACACACTAGGGTTTGTGGTCCATCTAATTGAGGCTCCCACGCAGTAGACTACAGTCACTTGGATATCCCATAGTTCAGGCAGTACTCCATGGCTGCCTGTCTAGTAGACCTTAGCCATAGAGGGCATTATTTTGTCCTCATGTTCCAAGCACATGATTAAGTCTCATGGGGCTTTAAACCAGAATCTTTCAAGGATATAATTGCTCTAGGAAGTATTTTTCTTCTTTTCCTGCCAGTTCAAATATCTGTCTTATCCCAATTGAAACTGTATAACCCTATAAATTTATTAGGATTGCTCCCAAAATTATGCTTTTTAACATTTAATGTTCAAAGTATCTCTACTTCTAATACCAAAGTACCAACGTTTCCTTGCAAAATCTCCTTTTAATTCTCTATTTCCATCATAAATATTTTAACATTTTATTATGATTCAAAATTCTAAAAGTTACCGACATTTACAGAAATCTTTACTTTTTAAAAGTATCACAACTAAAAATCTTATACCTGTCCTATCTTGTCAACAGTCTCCTCCACAGCAAACATATTTTACCAATTACTCCTTTCCTCAGATTGCATGTGGCATTCTGGAGCACATGTTTGTTTCATACTAGCATTTCATTCCAGAGAGATAAATCAACTTACCTTGCAACTAAATTCAGGGATATAATCTTTTACAAAACTTTCACAATTCAGAATTAATTTCTCATTTTGTATCAAATTAAAGTCAATTCTCTTGAAAAGCTCCTCTCTTGTTTACTAGTAGTTTGTTTACTTAACTATCTACCCATCTTCTCGCTCATTTATTTACTTTCTATTGGGCAGAGGTGTTGACACAGTCTTTCTCCACCTGAAGTTTATTGCCTCAGAGTACAGACAGATTCTACCACATTTCTTACCTCGGTCATTTCAGTTCACTACAACTCAAATTATTTTTCATTATGCTTACCAAAAGAACTCCACTCCCACTTAAAACTCACCAAAGACTTCAGTGATTCTCTCTGGTTAGACTTCCCCACCTTTCAGGTTTTTAATGCCTTTTGTTAGTTTCTACTGGTTTCAGCTAGTTACACCGAAGTAACCTTACATGTTTCCCAATTAATGTTAACAGAAGGTATTATAGATCTGCCTAGGACATAAACGTCACACCACATCCAATAAACTGCTCAGATACACACACATGCGTGCACGTGCAAACACACAGGTTCAGTCCTAAAAAGGGTCTAGAAATCATCCAGTTGAAACTATTTTATAGATACAGAAATTGAGGCACAGAGAAGTGAGCTGGCTTGCCCCAAATCAGAGGCAAAATATGCCATTGCCAAATCAATGATCCAGGCCTTCAGCAGCTGTTCAACTTCATTTCACTACCCACTTTCCTGAAAACTAGCTTTCCTTTTTCTCCTATAATTAAAACTTTTTTTTTCTAAAGTTAAACTGAGTATCTCATGCAAACAGCCTTTTAAATATACACACCCCTATATTCTTTATCCAAAGAGGAAACTGCAATTGCACGATCACAAATTTTAAGCTGGAACAGTAGTCTTACAGATCATCTAAACTAGTACTTACCAAAATGAAAGTTAAAACTTACAAGCACTGGCATTTTTTAAGTCTACAATTAAATAATACGTACCCTCCACACTCCAATTCCTCCCTCCTCCCAGAAAACCGTATCTTTACAGAGCCATTAGTTTGTCCCTCAGTGGTCTGTGGAGAGTAAGAAAGATTAAGGGACCTAATCCCACACCTTCCTTTGACAAATCACATGTCAATCCCAGAAAAAATGCAGGCACTTGCCCAAAGTGAATCATCAAGCAAATGGGAACTTCAGGACAAAACCCAGGGTTCCTGTTTTTCACGCTACAATTATTTCACTATTGGGTTAGATTTATAGTTTTCTGGACAGAGCTTCCGAACGCGCGGGGATCTCCTTAAAAGACTAGGCGCCGGTGGCCTGCTACCTATCTGAAAAAAAAAAAAAAAGACTGTGGCTATGTGGCTATCTGATCAGTTAATTCCTGGACAAGCAGGGAGCAGGAAGGACGTGCTTTTCAGGTCTATCGCTAAGACTCCATGACAGGGAAGCTGAGAATACGAATTGCCAGAGCTGGCAGGAGCACCGGAGACACCCAACACGTGCAATTTGTAGATAAGTAAGTTGTGGCACAGAAAGGATAATGGATCTGGACAAGGTCACATATGAGTCGGAGGACAGAGTACAACCAGAACTCCAACTCTTGCTCCTCAAGCGCAGTGGTTTCTCTCAAAGATGTTACGCGCTGTGTTCCGCTCAGCGTGTCCCTCTGGTGCAGCTGACCAAATGCCTTAATCCATTTACCAGCCTAAACACCGACTTAACGTTAAAATCGTGGCATTCGGGACGCCACGGGAGGGGGAGGGGCAAAAGTGAACCTCCCATTTCGGAAGCAGATCCCGGTTCCACGAGGGCTCAGCGCGTCGGGCTCTTGGGCCAGGTGCAGACCCAAAGCAAGGCCTAGAAAATGAGGAGCTACACATTCGACCCCAGCTCTCCCTGCAGATCTAGGCCCTGCGGGAGGTAACAGACCCACAACCCACGCTGTCGAGAGTCTAGGTCTACCCTTCCGGCTGCGGCTGCCCCGGCTCACACACCCCAGTCTTCTACCTCAGGCCTTCAGGTCCGGTCCCCTTATCCGCCGCCTCACAGTCTGTTATTGTGGCTGAGAAGGAGGGAGAAACACTACAAACACTTCCCGAGGCCCCCACCACTGATGCACTTCCGCTTCCGCCGCCGCTCGGGCATTCCGGAGCGCTGTCATCCGGGACTGCGCCCGGCCCGAACCTTGCCTCCATATTGGGTGTGGCTGGCTGCGGCGAGGCATGACAGCCATGTTAAGTGTGGCACTTCAGTTTGCCTGTGGCTGGACCTTTTTCACGTTTTGCCCAAATACCAAGGCGGAAGCACCCCAATATTGATGCGCCGGAACTAGTAGTTTGCTCTTCGGTGGGGCTGGTGCTCTCGCGTAAACCTTTGGGCCTTTGTCATTTCTAGAGCGAATGAATTTCAGTAGAAATGTTTTCCGGAATTCATGCAGCTAAAGCCTACAGCCTTTTATTTTTTCTTTTGGAAGAAGGGCTTAGACATGTTAACAGTATCACCACTGTGATTTCCGGAGATCATCTCTGCATGTGATTAATAGTGCTTTACAGTTCTTTCACATCAGTGTCTCAATGAGAACTTTCAAAATGGGCAGGAATAGGCTTAATCAGTTTTTTCTCTCTTTTTTTTTTTTTTTGTTTGTTTTTTTGTTTTGATGGATAGCCAATTGCCTTCAGAGAGAATGGTTGACCTGCACGGTGTCACAGTTGCACTGACGTCCCGACGTTTATTTTCTATACCCAGTGTTTTTGTCCTTACACACATGTAACAAAATGGGCCAAATACCTAAATTTAAACAGTTACAAACGCACTTGAAGGTACGTGGTGTGCATGGAAGCCACACTGCACAATTTCACAAAACAAGGTGGGGTGACCATCCTGTTGGAGAAAAAAACTGAAGTGGTTGCTAGAGTGTCCCTGACTCCTTTTATTCTTTTTTTGATTAATACAAGACCTACCTGGCTTTTTTCTTATTACTGGCCACTTAGGTTTATATCCTTAGATATGTTTGCTTTCACTGACTAAGTCAAAGGAAGCCATTCATTTTGGAGGAGACACACACACACAACACACACACACACACACACACACACACACACACACACACACAGAAAGAGACTGAGAGAGAGAGAGAGAGAGAGAGAGAGAGAGATGAAGGGGTTTATCATCCAAATCACTGTCTTTCTGTACAAGTATGTTAGGGTCTTTGAAGCAAAGAAAATGGGAGGAAATACCCTGAGATAACAGACATGCTCGAACTTGTTTCATCCCTTTCTGGGCCCAGACTTTATGGAAATGCAGCTGGATTTTACCAGCACCTGCACATTTTCTAGGCTGAAAAGAATGAGTGGTAGCGACCTCTGAGGCACGAGAAAGATTGGAAAGGCCATTTGTGTCAAAGGAAAAATCTAACTTTTAAAGTTACATTTTGTCAATGATGGTTACATGGTACTAAGGTTAACACAGTAGATTTTATCTTTCTTATACAAGTCATAGTTGTAAGTGATCCATTTCTATATGGCAAAACATAGATCACAATTTGGAGAACAGAGAAAAAAAATGGCAAAGCTTCATTGTATTCATGTACTGTTCACCTTCAACTTAGATTTCCTATTACATTCTTTATGTAAATGATGACATTCTATTTCCCACGTTGCTTTTCTAACAAGATCACATTTCAACTCTGATAAGTAACAGTAAGACTTTTCTGTTTCCTAGATTGGAATGAGATAGTGTCACTGGGAAGCTGGTCTCTGATTAGCACGCTGGTCCCTCACTGCTTGGTCCTAGCTTCTAGTGCTCTTCATGAAATAATTCAGTCAAGACACACGGGCAGCTATACAAAATACAGGTAGAATTTATAATAAAATAAATATACAGATAGTTACACCTTTAAGTGAGAAGGAAAGTGGTGTCATGAAGACATCTACCCCAGCATAATTTTAGATACATTCTATGTACACAAAAGTTACTCCTGAGGTTTGGGGAACTATGGTGACTATCACTGTTTTATGTAAACAATGTACATATACTTATCAATGTATCTCTTAGAGGTTTCTGTGGCAATCTGATGTCACAAAAATATATGCATTGTTCCTTTTAGATGGTTAGTGTTCCTTCAGGGGCCTTAATCATTAAGAATCTAAATCAGATCTCATTCCAAGGAGATAATCTTTAAAATCTGGTATCATTGGATGTAGCCAATGGTACCCAGGAAAGCTTTTTGCTTTGTTTTGGGAATAAATGCCTAGATATCAGTTGGAATATACACAATATATAACCTTAAAATATCATTGTGTTCTGTGGGATGGCTTTAAGTCTGAGACTTAACAAATAATACACTTATAAGTGTATTATGTTTGAAGTGTTCGTTTCTTAATTGTCAGTGGCAAAGCATGATTGTTTTACCTCCAGACCCAGACCCAGACCCAGACCCACAAGTCTGTCAGCTTATGACTACCTGCTTAAAATATGACAATACTGAGTGTGGAGTGCAGGAGCTACCATTTACAGAAGACAATCAATGAAATTTCAGCATAGCTGACTTGAATTTTTAATTCAAATGGATATATCCTGTTGATAGGCAATATTGCTCCTGTCATTAAAAAGCACCGTGATAGGGCTGGAAATACATAAATAAGTTAGGTTTTCCTATTTCAAATTTAAAACATAACTAAGCCATAACTAAAGATTGTAAAAGGTGAATAATAGAGATTTTTTTTTCTGTATTAACCCTCAGCGCACATAGTTTCTTGTTCCTCTAAATCCACATCTTCACTTGTTTCTTGTGAGATATTTGCAATCCTCTAACAATGCCTGGCATGCAGTGAAACTCGACAAAGAGTCATTGTTGTATCTGCTTATTCCTTCCTACATAGCTCTTTCTGGATCATTTCAGTCAAGGGCTGAAATACTAATACGATATTTCCAAAGTTCACTTTTACAGTGCTCTAAGTTTTTCTAAGTTATGAAAGAAATCAAAAAAAGGATATTGTACATAGGGACATGCAATGGGAGACAGGTAGATCCTTGAAACTTCAAAACTGATGCAGGCGGTAGGTGGTGAAAAGTCTGAATAAAAGGCTTTATACCTTTATAAATATGAACTTGAAATTAGCACTATGCAACTAAGCATGAGTTATTTTTGTGAATCATACCATACAAGATCAAAGTTATATGACAAGTAACTTAAAAGATTCATTTAGGAAAATCAAAATTTAAAGAAACTCAATGCAGTCTTCTTTTTCAAAAGTTAATTTTATCATTACGTTTTAGATATGCATAATGATCACATTCACCATAGGAAATTTGTACCTGTGCATGATACCTCTTGAGTTTTTCTTTCTTCCCCAACCCTCTCCTTTCTCTTTAACCCATCTCCCCTTTCTTACTTAACAAAAGCTTTGTTTCCATTTCATCCTTCTACTTTTTTTTCTCATTCCTCCTTTTCCCCTCCTCCCTATTTCCCTTCTCATTTGAACATTTATTTCCCAATATCAGTTATACATTTTGGCCCTTACTTACCCTTTTGGTTTCTCACACTAAAGAAACAGTGTAATGTTTAAATATGTATATTCAATTTATTTCACTCAGGACTATGGACTCAAAGTACATCTATTTACCTAGAAATGTCTCAAGTTTATCCTTATTTATGGCAGTAGTACTCCATTGCATAAAAAACACATATTCTCTATTTAAAAAACACTGATAGGCATTTGGGCAGTTCCCAAGATTTAGCTACTATAAACAGTGCTGCTATAAACATGACTGTGCATATATTTCTATGCTATGATGCTTTTACTTCCCCATAAACCCTCCAGCACTTGTTATTGGTTGATTTTTTCATGATAACCATTGTTTCTGGAGTGGGATGGAATCTCAATGTTATTTTAAGTTGCATCTCTTGAATGACTGGAGATGTTGAACACTTTTTCATATATTTATTTGCTGTTTGTTCTTCTTCACCTGAGAAGTGTGTGTTCATTTCAGATTCTCATTTTTGGAATAGATCTTTAAATGTGGGAAGGGGATCTGTTTTTTTTTTAATTCTTTATGTATTATAGATATTATTCCTTTGTCTGAGGAACAGATGTCAAAATTTTTCCCACTCTACATTGTTGCTTCATTCTGTTGGTGATTTTTTTTTTGCTATGCAAAAGATTTTAACAAGATTAGTTCCCAACTGTTGATTCTTTGTGATATCTTCTGTATGGTTGGGATTCTGCTTATGAAATCTATGCCTATATCAAAAGCTTGACCAACTCTATCTTTCAGCAGATTTAGTGTTTCTGTTAATATTTAGATTGTTAAAAAGTTTTGAGCATTAATTCACTTTTATTTTAGTTTAGTGCATAATGAGGGATATGGGTCTAGGATTAATTTTCAGCATGTGGAAAGCCAGTTTTCAGAATCATTTATCTAAGAGGCTATCTTCCTTCAATGAAGATATTTTGTCCCTTTGTCAAAGGTACGGCAGCTGAGTGTGTTTGGCATTATTCTATTGATCCTCGATTCTGTTCTGTTACTTTTACCATGCTGTTTTTATCATGATAGCTTTGTTGTGTAATTTCAAATCAGGGATTGTGATGCCCCTGCCTTGCTTTTGTTGCCTATAATTGCTAATTTTTTTAATAGATTTCAGTAGTGAATTTGTCAGGACCTGGAGATTTCTTTGTCAGTAGATTTTTAATTACATCTTCAATTTCATTGACTGATACTGGATTATTTATAATTTTTATCTTATTGATTAAGCTTTGGTAATTTGTATGCATCTAAGAATTTGTCCATTTCTTCTATATTTTCCATCATATTAGAATATAGGTTCTCGTATTAGGCATTGATGATCTCCTAGATTTCTGCAACAGAGGTTACCCTTTGCATTCCTAACTGCATGAATTTGAGTTTTTGCTTTTTTTTTTATAAATGGAGCTAAAGATTTGTCAATTTTATTTCATCTTTCAAAGAACCAACTCTTCGATTCATTAGTTCTTTGTATTGCTTTTATAATCTCAATACCACTAATTTCTGTTCTGAACTTATAATATCTTCCTTCTTACATGCTTTGGGCTTGACTTGCTTTTCTTTTTCTAGAATTTGAGGTGCAGCATTAGTTTATTTATTTGATTTTGCTCTGTTT